AACGAAGGCCCTGGGGCTCCTTCCAGTCGGGGCTGCCAGCTCAGGTATGGCGCCTGCGCCTCGGGGCTGCTTGCATAAGAAGTTGCAGCCCGGGCTGTAACTCTGCCCTGCCAGCAGGGACGGGCTCCAGTCCAGATCTGCTGCCCTGAGCCTTCCCACCTCGAGGCCCGAGGCCTGGGCGGGGATGGTGACCACACCTTGAAATCCCCAATCGGGTCCGCGTGGCTCTAGGGGAGGGGCCTCYGAGGTTTCTGGTCACACTGGCTGTGGCCTGGCTCCCTGGGAGGCCTCCCTGGGTGGGTGAAGGGAGTCCTCCCGGCATCCCTTCCCCTCTCCTGGGGAGCATTCATTCTCTCACTGCTTCCCCAGCTGCAGACAGCCAGGAGAAGGCTGGAATTCAGGTCCTCCTTTCCTGCAGCTTCTCCCCTCCCTCCACAGAGGTTTGCAGACAGGGTGCTCAGAAAAATGTACATTTGCTTGTCTTAGATTTGAACTGTTTTGCTCAGGGGAATAAGGCAGCCAATCCCGAAGGGTACCTGGCTGAGACTGGGCCAAATGACCAGGGTGGGGTTTGGGGGAGGCCTGGAACTGACATGAAACAGCCAGCGATGGGCTGTGGAACCTTTGGCYAGTCACTAAACCTCTCTGAACCTGTTTCCTCTCTGGGCAAATGGGTGCACCTGCACTGCCTTCCCTGTCGTCAGGAGGTTGGCCCTGTGTCCTGGCCTTTGAGCCCACAGAACTGAAGCCCTGTGGAGATGTCTTACAAACGTTTTGTGCTCTGCATGTCCAGCCTGGCAACCAGCCCACACCAGGCACTCATCTGAGCTACTTGGGTAAGTGGTGACTGAGAAGGCTATAAAATGCCATCTGTAGGAGTGGCTCGGCTCTTCTGTGGGGTCTCTGGCCCTGCCAAGTGACAGCCCTGAGTCGACAGACTAAGCTTGAGAGATGGATGTCCCTTCACACTCCCTGGTGACTCTGTGACTTCCATCTGCACATCCTTGCCCCTCTGTTCTGAGCCACTCCTTTCTTCCAAGGATCCCGTCTTCATCTCTACCTCTTCCCCATCCCCAGCCTCCCGTCTCCCATGTCCTGTCCATCCACTTAAACCCAGGGAGGTCTCCACCCTCCACCTCTGTCCATGCAGGGTCTCCCCTTCCCCAGTGGTCAGCCCACATCCCGGCCTGGCCTCCGACCCATGGTCCCTCCCTTCATCCTCCCTTTGACCACTGGCCTGCTGGTGCCCACTTCCAATAAATACCCTGTGTCCTTTATCTAACTTGACCTTCCCATTGCCCCCTTTCTTCTGGACTCTTCCTCGGCTTCCGGGTCAGCACTCTCCTGCTTTTCCTTCTTGTCCCCTGACTCTGTCTCCCCTCTGCTCCTCTTTATTTATTTTTTATTGATTCTTTTTTAGTTATACATAACATTAGGATTCATTTTGACATAATTATAAACGCATGGAATGTAATTCGCTCTAATTCTCTCTGCCTTTCTTTCCCTCCCTTTGCCAAGGAATTAAGGAAGTCCCCCATCTTCTCTCCACCTGGCTCCTCCCCAGTCAGATCCCCTGGAGAAGCAGCAGCACTGCTGTCAGCCTCCTGGTGTGAGCGGCTGTGCTAGGGTTCAGCCTGACCACAACCCCCAGCCCACTGCCTCCAGATCCTCCTGTCACCACTCTGTGCCTAGGCCACTCTTGCAGCTGTGGATACAGAGGTCTTTTCTCAATCCCACTCCCTTCTCTGCTAAGAGCCTTCCAACAGCTGCAGGATAAAGTYCAAATTCCTGGCAAAGTCTTCCCTCCTCAACAGGCACCACCCACCCAGCCCCAAGCTCCACTCCCAGCACCCACCACGTGGAGTGTGTGGGGCTGCAAGGGACCAAATGTGCACTCATGTCCACACCTCTTCTGCCCAGGCTGCACTGCAGTCCCCTCACAGATAGGCTGGGCTGTGTTGGATGCAGGCATCTGCTACGGTCTAGATGAGAGGTGTCCCGCAGAAGCTCAGGTGAGAGACAATGCAAGAAAGTTTGGAGGTGAAAGATTGTGTTATGAAAGCGTTAACTCAATCAGCGTGTTAATCCACTTGAATGGATTAACTGGGTGGTAGCTGTAGGCAGGTAGGGTGTGGCTGGAGGAGGTGGGTCACTGGGGATATGCCTTTGGGGTTTATATTTTGTTCCTGGTGAGCAAGCTCCTTTCTGCTTCCTGGTGGCCCTGTCCTGCTTTCTTCCTCCACACTCTTCCACCATGACGCTCTGCGTCACCTTGGGCCCAGAGCAGTGGAGCTGGCCATCTTTGGACTGAGACCTCTGAAACTGTGGGCACCAAATAAAGTGTTTGTTCTCTAAAATTGTTCTTGTCAGGTCTTTTGTTCACAGCAGCAGAAAAAGCTGACTAAAACAGCATCTGAGGGGTGGGGAGTTGTGGCTCAGCGGTAGAGCGCTCAACTATCATGGGCAAGGACCTGGGTTCGAACCTCAGCACCACATAAAAATTAATTAATTAATTGATTAAAGATATATATTATATAAAGATATATATATAGAGAGAGAGATAGATAGATATGTCCAATTACAACTTAAAAAATAAATATTTAAAAACAAACAGCATCGGTCCTCTCCTACCAGCTTCCTGTCCCAAAGAAGGAGTTCCCCAGGGCTGCCCCTGTGCCTAGATCCCTGCTGCTGTGCCTATATCCCATGGCCCACTTGTATCTTGGCAGGTGTTCAATCAATTCATGCTTAATGAAGGAGGATCCATTGGACCTGGGGGATCAGGGAGGCGGGGACTCCTCCTCCTGCATTCTTCCAGGGGGAAACAGGCAGGCTCACCTTTCAGGAAATTCCTTCCTGAAATGCTGTTTGGAACAAGGAAGGGCTGGGGTGGGGTTTCCTTCCCAGGGGACAACTAACTCCCCACCCCCGGAGTTTGTTGGGAACAAGGTGTCAGGGAGAGCCACTGCTGACCTTGGGTAAAGCACAGTCACAGGGGCTGTGTTATTGTTATATTCGTCCCACAGAGGAGGAAAGAAGACCAGAGACACTAAGCAAATTTTTGAGGTCACACAGTGAATTAGGAGCCAGGCAGCAGCTCTCTGCCCCAAACTGAAGTGTCTGGAAGATGTCCCAGTTTCTCTCTGTGTAAGTACCACCCCCACCATTTGGGCGTCCCAAATCACTGCAACTGGGAATTTGCTGGGAGCAGGAAGAAGGAGGGGCAAAGGTAAAACTGGGAAGTGATCCTGGTGCTGGGTGATTTCTCAGCAAATGCTGGGATCTGGGGACCTTSCTTTGGTCTGAAGCCCTGGATTAATGGCTCTTGAGCAGACGTGCAGAGTCCCGCATCGGGGATATGGGGTCAATCACTCCCTGCTCCTCACTACACTCAGTGCTCAATCTCTGGGTCAGGCGAGAGGGTTCAGAGGGCAAGACCCTTCCCCCACTTCCAGACATGTACCTCTCAATGGCGGGCACACTCCCACCATCGCTAGGACAGAGAATGTCAGAGGCTTGAAAGTATGCCGCCACCAGGAGCCTGCCCAGGAATGGAGGGGACCCAGGGGATAGAGAGCTGGCCTCCAGTCACCTGTCCTAGAGAGGCCACCTGGCCTGCTGGCAAAGAGCACCAGACCCGCTGCAGTCCCCGTGGGCTCCTGCCAGGTGCTGTTGCCTGCTCTAGCCACAAGGGAGCGGGATGCCCTGTAGAACCCTGAGCAAAGCCACGCGGATCTCAGGGGAAGAACTTCGGACCCGGGCGCCCAGGGGGCCTTGGTGGACCTTCTGCTTTGCGTGCCAAGACCTTCCACACCTCACCTCGTTTAAGGCTCGCAACAACCTAATGCGTTTACACACAAAGACACGGAGCCTGAGGGAGCTAAGTGGCTCGTCAGCGGCTGGMGGGTGACCCAGCAGAGTCAAATTCGAGTCTGTAGTTTCAAACCTGAACTCTGCATGGTCACGAGACTGGGCGGAGGGCTGACCCGGAAGCGGGTTGACCCCGCAGCCGGCCAACCCTGACTGCCGCCTAGGTCTGGGCACCCCAAACTCAGTACTGGCACTTGCAAGCGTCCGTGTTTATTGAGATTACAACCAAATACAAAGAAACCGGAGGCTCCCGGGCCTCGGAGGGTTTCCATTCGCCCCCTACCTTTGCGCCAAAGAACAAACTGAGACCCTGAGAGAGGAAGTRAGTCGGCCACATTATTCCCCAGCTGGTGGCAGATGTCAGAACGGGTTCGGAGCACCTTCCCCCACCCCGCCCCTGTGCCCGAAAAGTTCCTAAAGTTCAAGATGTGAGGGCCGTCGGAGTATTGTGAGGATGTAAGAGTATTTTTAAAACGTATGGTATTTTCGATTTCTCAAACTAACACAATCGGATTCTGAAGCGAGGGGGGGCACCCTCGAAATAACTGGACTTTTCTCTGAAACAAACCCATCAAGAGTTTTTTTTTTTTTTTTTTTAAGGAACTGAAACGTTGGAAGCAGCCCAAAAGGGAAGCGGTGCGTGACTTTCACATCCAACTCATCTGACCTCTCTCCCGCTCAAACTCTCCGGAGAAAGGCGAGGCGTGTAGAGCAGCAGAGATCTATGGACCCATAGCAGATGCATTGCGGAATACAGATTGGTGGGGGTTTTAGTATGGTAATACTGGGCATGCAAATGCCATAGGATGTGTAACCTCCTGGCACAGCTTGGGGCAATACCCTGTAATCAATCTCATTTTCATTTCTGCAGCAAAACATGAATAGTCACACTAGTGGGGTTAGTAAAGACTCCAAATCAGCTCCAAGACCAATTTTTGCCACCAGTTGAATTATAGAAACATTTGGGCTTCCAAGGAACTTTGCCATTTAGGAATTGCAGATAAGGCGTTTTGAGCCTGACCACTTGTTTCATAGTCGAGGAAAGAGAGCTCCACCAAAGCCCGTGGACACTGCGGTGGGCATCAGGAGGGTGCSGCCCGGCTCCCGCCACCCGGCTCACAGCGCCTTACCTGCTCCGGGATCTCTTCTCGTTGAGGGCTGCGCACATCCGGGATGGCCTCGTAGATGTTCTSCGAGTCGCTGCGCGCCAGGGGCCGTGGGCACACCCAGGATCCCGCCACGCTGCAGGCCTTGAAGCGGCCTGCGCTTCCTAGGAGGCCGGCAGGGGGCGCGGCGGCGCGCGCCAGGTCGTCCAGGGACTGCGCTGGGCGCACTGGCGTCGAGGGTCGCGCGTACAGGCTGGTGGGCCCGCCTGGCGCCAGGCTGCTGCGCTGAGCCGCGCCGCTGCGACGCACAGGACCGCATAGGGAGCTGGCGCGGCCCCGGGGTTCCCCGGGTGTATGATCCGAGCCCGTGGGCGCGGACAAGTTCACGAACCGGTAGTCGTAGGTCAGCGGTTCGGGAACTGCGGGGCTTGTGTGGGGCGCGGGTAACTGCGGGGCAGCGGCAGGGTCGCCGAGAGCCGGCAGCTCGCGCACATACTGTGCGGGCAGGTAGAAGGGTCGGCCACCAGGCTCGCGCCGCACGTGCCACCAGTGTTCAGTGCTACGGCGCAGCAGTCTGTAGCGCTCGTTGGGCTGTATGGCTACGAGGCGCCCGTCCTTGCCAGTGTACTCGAAAGGGTGTTCCACCAGCACATACACGTCCCCTTCGACGTCCGCCGCCATCGCGGCCACCGCGTTTTCCTACGGGCAGTCGGGAGAGGGGGCCATTGAAGTCACCATACTAGGGGAACAAAGACCTGGGTCTGGATCCTGCACTCGCCCTTTGCGTTCGGGCTTTAGTCTCTCCATCTTTATAATGGGGACTTGTATAAAATAATCTCTGAGGCTCTCTTATAGTCCGTAATGGAATTACGACAGCTTCCTTCTTTCTGTGGGGTTGATCATAAAATTTGAGCCTCGCTTCAGTCCCATGTTGAGGAAACTGGGAGTTATATGGGTCTAGTTCTGCTGCCTGGAAGCCTTGCCTTACGCCGGGTGATTGCCTGCAATAAGGTCGACACCACATCTGCCTAAACGTTGACTTAGCTCAATTTCCCTGTCATTTAAGTGGGAAGAGCGGCTCATTTTACGCCACCCCCAGTCCCTCCCCGCCTGGTCCTGCCCACACGCCTTCAGCCTACAAAGAATTCGGGAGAAGCTCCGCGGCTCCCCGTCCTCCAGGAGTCTGCACCCCAGGGCCCGCGGAGTCGTGTTGAAGTGCGGGTTTTGGGGCGGCCCTGAGCTGCTCTACCCTGGAATTGTTCCTGCTCTTAGGGCAATGACCTTGACGTAGGGGCTTCGACTGCGAAGGCTGGAGAACCGGTTTTCTCGGTTTCTCTTTCCTTCCCCAGTGGCTTCCTCACAGAAGTGAACCCGGAGACCGGCCCGCCCAGACCGGCCCACACCGCTCCCTGCTCTCCAGCTCCCAGGTAGCCTCCCCAGAGAGCCTCGAGTAGCACCTAAAGAATGCGCTTTGTGACAGTGACTATTCATATGGTGTTCCCAGGATGCAGCCTGGCTACCGGTGTGTCAAGGAAGGGTTCAGAGACTAACTGTAAATCCACTTGTGTGCTTTATCAAAGCTAAGAGCCGGTGGCCTCCTCCGGAACTGCCGGATCCCTCCAAATTCCTACACTGACCGACCACACCTTCTGCCCCGCAAAGGTGTGCCGGGAGCAGCAGCCTCGAGTCCGGTCTCTTGCTGAGGCTGGAAGACCCCAGGAACAAGGTCCGACGGGGTTCCCGTAGCGCTCCTACTCTGCTGTCTCAAAAGTTCCTCTCCTGGGAAGTCTTGTAAAGGGAGTCACTGGACAAACTGGGCCCGGGAAGCACGGTCCGTGAGCAGTTCAGAGCCAAACCAACAAATTCCGGGGAGGAGGACTCCCCCCCGCCACCCACGTTCCCTTCCCTTGAATCCCAGTTGCGCACTCACGTTAGCTGGGCGGGCCTCTGGGAGCCCATGGGCTGGATGGGCGGAGTCGGCGAAGGGCTGCAGGTTAGGCTTCTGTCATCTCCTTGGGCGGGGCTTCCAATGGCACGGCTGGAGAGACTGCGCGAAGCTGGAGCTGGCAAGGGGAGGGAAGGAGAAAAGGGACACTCAGGAGGGCTGTCCTCAATTTCCAATGCAGCTGTGCCTGGGAGGACAAGGAGGATCCATAATGCCTGTCCCAGGGCCTTTGGGAGTGCATCGAGGACAGGGCCCAGAACAAGCGAAGGCATGCGGGAGGGGCTGGAGCAGGGAGGGCTGGGTCTGAAGGGGCACGGGGGGTAGTGAGGGGACTCAGGAACCCGCTCCTGTCCCCCTCCACCAGCCGCGGGATTTGATGTCCGCGAGCCCCTGAGTCCCGCGGGTGAGCGGCTCTGGGAATGCCCTCCTGGGGCAGGTTGTCTCCTCCGGGTGTCCCCATTCCGAGTAAGGCCATTTGCACCCTGAATCACCAGATTCGTGCCCTTTCCAGCCGGATGGCCGGTACTACCCGTTCCGGGCCCACCTCCGCCCTCCGGAGGACCTTTCTGGGCGCAACCCAACCGAGCCTGGAAAAACTCGGAGGGAGATTCCCACGGGCAGAGACGCCCACCAAAGAGCAGTGTCTCGGGCTGTGTGGGAAGGGGACCTGCGCCTCAGCTTCTTCCCGGATCCTGGTGGGAGCGGAGAGAAAGGGAGGGAAGGGGAGAGCGGGGAAGATCCCCCGAGCGCAGGAACACACTGGTCATCAGGAGGTGCCTGCCCTGCCTGTACTGTCCGGGGGACAGGAGCCACCAAGGGGCCAACGCCCGAGTCGGCCCTGTGGGCCCGGGTCTGGTCCCCTCCCACCCCCGAACGGAGAGCAGCCCCTAGCCTACTCCTCTTCAGGGGGATCCGGTCCGCCGGGCCCTCCTCTGGGCTCGCTCAGCTCCCGCCGCAGCTCTGTGCGAAGGGGAGGCGGCGCGCGGAGCGCTTGGGTGAGGACAGGCCACCTGGGGCACCCTTCCCGCCCTCCCCCTCCTCAACCCCCCCCCCCCGCCGCCCAGCCCTGCCGGTCCTGGCACCTCAGGGCGTCGGTCCGCTGGCCTCGCTTCCACTTGCCCAGACAGACGCGCGAGGGTTCGGTGTCCGGTGCTCCCTCTTCCACCACCCGGCTCCCGTGCTGCCCTGTTTCCTGTTCAACAATATAACAAGGGAGGCACCGACGGAGAGCACTCGGCAGAACTTCCTCCCGGGCTGGGGCTGGGCTGCGGTTGGGAGAGACAATCCCCGGTGTCCTAGCTTCCTGTCCCCTCTGGGCCGGGCCAGTGCCTCTGGAGCAGAGACGCCACCCCTTCCCCCCTACACCTCCTGGGCCACACCTGGCTGTCTCCAGAGAGGAGAAGGAGGCAGCTGGGCCAGGATGGTGGGATGAGGAGGGTGGCAGCCTCCCACTAAATTCTCCTGGCCAGATTTCCCTCCCTTCACGCCCCTTCCCCCAATATTGTAGGGGAGGAGGGACACCCTCAGATCTGATCTGTGGGTAGGGTAAGCTTAGAACAGTCTCCTGAAGGCCAGCATCTTGAGTCCAGTTCCAGGGCCCTCCACTTGGAGGTCTTATCTTTTGGAATCTGCTGCCTCTGGGAAAAGCAAGCTTGCTCCTGTGACTTGACCTTGCACTCACTCCAGATTTGGGCAAGCCAGCCCCAGTGGGTCCCAGCTCTCAGGGTGGCAGGAACAGTTGTGCCCTCTCCCTTAGATGCTTGTGCTGAGTGCTGGGTACTTCAGGTGAGTTGAGCGTTTGATTGGAAACTGAATCTGGCCATGCTCTTTCTTGAACCCCATTTCCTCCACATCTTTGACCCTGTGAGGGGTTGCCCACCAGTGAGTTCTCCTTGTGCTAGTAGAATGTCAGTGCATCTGAATTCTGATGGCATCTTAAGATCCCCGAGGCAGTCACAGCAAAACTCAGCATTGCCCTGCATACTTAGAAAATAGTGACTGGATTGGACCCTCCCTCCACCCCACCTCTTAGGTCTCCCCATCTGTCCTGGCTAGGCAGGATGGCAGTGGCTGGTAGTGGTTGTACTCCTTGTTTGGGGTCTAGCAGGCTGATGTCCAGCTCTGTCCTGTGTTGGCCTTTAGACATTGTGAGTACTGACTTGTGTCTGCATCTCAGCTTTCTTTCCAATAAACTGGGGATAGTAACACCTACCTACTATAGGCTTGCTGAGAAGATTAAAATGAGATGCACTAAGAACAGTGGCAAGTAAACACACTTCATTATTATTACTACTTTTACTGAGATGAGCTCTTTGGGGTTGAATTGTGATCTCCAAACCTCCCGTTCTCTAGGTAGAAAGGGAGGAAGGGTAAACATGTGGCCTTAAAGGTACTTTGGGTTGAGTCCAAGGGCAGGGCAGCATGAGCTCACATGCCCATGGTCCTCCCCTGGGCCTGCCTCCCCCAGCCCTCAAACCCAGTTCCTCTTTGCATCATTGGGCCTACCATCTACTGCCCCTGGAAGAGGGAAGACCCTTGGAGGAAGCTGGGGCTCATGGATGGGCAGAGGGTTTCCATGATGGGTTGAAAGGGATCTTCAATGGCAGGAAACTGCAGACCTGAATGTTATTCTTTTCTGCTCCATTTTCCTGCAAACTGACTTTCTGGGAATTAAGTCTGTTTCCTTCTTTTGTTCTTACATGGACAGTGGGGGGCTTCCCCCTAGAGTCCCCCCCACCCCCCACCCCAGGGGCTTGTGGAACTTGTGAGAAAGGCTGGCAACCAAATAAAAGCCACTTTGAGCCCTAAATCCAAGATTCATGATTCTGGGGCTCTGCTCAAGTCACCTGCTCCCCTCCCACCCATCCCTTCCACACTGCTTTATTTCTCCAAGAATTCCTGCCGTGTCCGTGATCAGTGTCAAGGGGCTGTGTTGACATTTAAGGCGCAGGAAAAGAAGCCATGGGGGAGTCAGCTTCAGTTGTCACAGATGAATGTATGAGTGAACCTCCCCAAAGTCCCTGAAATCCCATCCCAGGGAGGATCTCGACTCCTGGGCGTGAAGGATGGGACTGTACACTCTCATTTATGGGCTCTTTTCTTGATGGCCACTCCTGGTACATAGCTGCTGCCTCCAAGTGTTCTTCAGTGACCTGGAGACCTCCCTGTGCCCAGGGGCTAATGGGTAAGTGGGGGGCTCATCCAATGGTTATGATGGCTGGTTTCCCCACCTCCCATGAGTTAGGATTCAGAAGTCAGACGGTGATTAGAAAGATCAGGTCTTTACTGCAAAATCACTCAAATATCACACAGCTGTAGTTCCTTCAATACATTGCAAAATCTCAGGGCCAGAGCCCTACTTTCTAGAAAGTTTATTGCATAAAATAACATTTTAAGAATAGTGTGGGTACTGCTGAGGTTCACCTCGGCTTTCCACTGGAGGCGGAGGGTAAGAGTCAACTCATCCAACAGCATTAGCAGCTTTTTGGTACTGGAGGAGAGGGCAGCTCTAATGCACATAATCCCAGGGGTGAGGAGGTCCCATCAATCAGGGCCTCACTCCTGCTGCCTCCCAGGGCACTATATGGAATGTACACCCAGGACCAAGGCCCACAGCAGGCCAGACTCCTGTCCACTCAGGGACCTGGGGCAGTGATAGCTCTGATCAGGCCGTGTTTACAGGGGAGAGTTAATGCTGGCTATGGGAGGTGGGTGGGGTAGAGATATGGTCACACTTCCTGGCTCAAGAAGTTTTGGTGTTCTGGGCACAGGTGTTCACCACCTTCCACAATGGGGACACAGGAGCTATGTGGCAGCCTCCGCTGCCTGCCTACTGTCTCCTTTGTTCTATTGCACAATTCATCCAACCCTGTGGGGCTGGGTGGGTGACTCAGCAGCTCCATCACTCCAGGGAGGATGGGGGAAGGCTCACCTCTTGACAGTGACAGGTACATCTCCACCTGAGGCCTCTGACTCCAAGCTGAGGGCAGGTGAGACAGTGAGAGGAGCCTGCTGGATCCAGGAGAGGAGGGGAAGGCTGCAGAGACCACCCACCCTCCCCAAACTTCAAGGATCTAGACATGCCTAGAGGGGAACTCCAGGCTCCCATCCAGCCCCCAGGACCCCTTCAAAAACCAATTCTGCTCCAAGGAAATTCTCCAAGTCCTGGCAGACCCTTGCTGGGCAAGTCCAGGGCAGCTTTGTGAATTCATGGCTTTGTAAGACTGAGGCTGCAGAAGCACCCACAGGATAGCTTCTCTGCATGTCCCTGCACAGTTCAGCAGCAGAAGGACAGGGTCACTTCTCCACAGGGTAGGGCTCGGCAGTCACGACATCTGAGGCAGCCCCTGCCCTTGGCTCACTGCTCTCTCTGGGGTCCAGCCTACTCAGGAGTCAGTCAGGCAGGGGTGTGACCTCAAGAGTCAGTCTGAGGCAGGTCCTGCCCATCTTTGCAGGAGTAAGGTGGGTGGGGGGAGGAGAATGGGCAAGATGAAGTCCTTCCCCCAACCGAGGAAGGTTCAAAGTGCTGACAGTGCTGGTTTTGAGTCATTTCCCCTTCTGCACAATGACTCCAGACTAGAGAAGAGTGAGGGGGCTCTGACTCTGAGAAAGGGAGGACTTTCCAGGTGAGAAGGGAGGGGATAGGAAGTCAAGATGAGATGGGAGAGAAAGGAGGCGGTCATCAGGACTGACCTCGTCCTGCTGGAAGCAGTTTGGCAGGTGGCACTGGAGTTGTCAGCAGCAAGTGCCAGCAAGGATGAAGGAAAGGCACTGTCCGCTGACAGGCTGGCTGCCTGCCTTCGGGCCAGGCCTAAGTGTGCACATCCACCAGGGTGAGAAGGCCCGGGTTTCTTGGGTGACTTGTGTAGGGTCAGGAATAAAAAAATATTTTCTGTTGCAATATGAAGGGAAAAAAACCCACCTTAAAAAACTAGACCTTTTAATCAGGAATGTGGAATTGAAAATGTCCCCCAAGTCTCATTTCCACAGTGTTTGAACAGACCTAATGGAGGTGTGACAGTGAGGTGAGCCCAGCCTGATGAAAGGCCCCACTGAGCCTTGAGCAGAGGACATCTGGTGGTGTCCTTGCTCCTGAGACAGAGGGAGGTGGGAGGCCATGGGATGTCATTGGGCTTCCTGGCTTTCTCTGGGAGGCCCATGCTCTCTAGTCACACCTGAGGGTCTTACTGAAAAGGGGAGACACTGTGACACCAAGTGGAGCCTGGGGTGATGGCAAACCCGGCTGGGACGGCTTGGGGTGGGTGAGGAGATCGGCCTAGGTTAGAGTGTTCTGTTCCTGGTATTTGCGCCGGCGGGCACAGCGGGGGCAGCCCTTCTTCACCACAGCCTGGCAGCTCTGGTGGAAGACGGTCTTGCACTCAGCACACCTGGGGAGAGAGCAGCGTGCACAGTTTGTGCCAATTGACTAGAGGCCATCCTGGGGTTGGGGCTGGCCAGGGGTCTGGTCAGATCCCATAGTGAGGCTGTGTTCTTCTTKGCAGCCCCTACCCTACCCTTAGATGATGAGATCACAGCCATGCCAAGCATGGAGATTCTCCATCCACTTCATTTCTCACAAGTGCTGCCTGAGTGTCCCTAAGTGATTTTTAAAAACACAGTTTGAAAAACAGCTCCAGGCCCATGCAGGGTTGAACCCTGGCGGGTGTACCCACTGGAAGTGGAGGAATGTGCTCCCTGGGGCAGCTTTTTATTCCCCATGTCTGGGTGAATTTTTCAATTCAGAGGCTTCTGATAATGAGYAATGACTGGGGATAAGAACAATCGTTACAGTGGCAGAAGCTGTGGCAAGCATCACCCATAGGTGCCCATTCTGTGCCAGGGGTTTAGGGCCAGGGCCATAGCTTGTTCAGTCCCTCCTCAGCTTGTTTGCAGACTGAGGTGGGGGTCCCTCTCAGTACCGGCAGCCACCTCTTCTCCAGGGTGATGGATGCTCAGTACAGGAGGGAGCCATGGGAGCCCCAGGCAGGGGCTGCTCCAGACAACTTTGCCAGCTGGGCTCTGGCACAGAGTGGATGTTCACTGTTCCTGAGTGGCAAAGCTAGGGYTACTCCCTATAGTGCTGTGCAGAGCTGTGGGTGTCGTGCATACCTGATTGTGGTGTCAAACTCAAAGGGGAAGATGATGTCATGGTGGTGGCAGATCTGGCAAATAAAGCCCCGCTGCGTGCACAGGTCACAGTGGTAGACATGCTGGGAGGCGAACTCGATCAGGGCCTTGAGGAACCCTTCRTACACCCCATCTGCAATCTGTAGGGATAAGCACAAGCCTGGCCTCAGGCAGCTGCACTGTGGCACCAGACTCCCCACTGAGAGGAACTGCCTCCAGCTCTTATATGAGCAAGGAGACTTCCCCAAATTGGGCTGTATCTGTCACGGGGAGTTACTGGATTTACAGATGAGATCCAAATCTACTCCATTCTCTTGAGCAAAGCAGTGTCCTACACTTTCAACCCAGGATTCTAGAGTCTGCTGCCTGCCAGGGAACCAGGGGAGTCTGTCACTGCCCAGGATGTACTGGGGCAGCAGGAAGGCCCATTCTGAGATGTGAAAAAGTTGAACACTGCTATCTGGTCTCAATATTCGGAAACACCCCTCTTCCATCTCTTTTTCTGATTTCTCCAGGAATGAGGCCTCTCTATAGAGATTTGGGGAGAGTTGGACACGTTTACCTGCTGGAGGTCAGCGACACTGAACTTGTGGGGAGACTCCAAGAGATAATTCCTATGGTTGAGCCTGCAAAGAAAACACAAGAGCTTCCTCAGAAGGGCTTTGGAGGCTGGGCCACCCTGCATTGTCTGTTTTCCTTCCCTCAGCAATGCTAGCCAACCAAAACCCTCCTGCCTCGCCAGGCAGGGCTAAGAGCACAAGTCAGCTGGACCAGACTTGCCCTGGCCTCCCAGGTAAACTAACCAGCTGGTGGGTTCTTGGGCAAGTTGCTTAATCTCTGAACCTCAGGTATCTTCCTCTAAGAAGTGGAATTGTTTTTGATGATTAAATAATCTATTTAGAGCATTCGGTACAGTGCCCGGCAGGTTGTRAGCACATAACTAATAATGAAGAGGGTGGAGCTGGGGCTGTGGCTCAGTGGTACAGCGCTTGCCTAGCATGTGTGAGGCACTGGGTTCGATTCTCAGCTCTGCATATAAATAAATGAACAAAACAAAGACCCATCAGCGACTAAAAAAATTTTTTTAAAAATAAAATGAGGATGAGGATGATGAAAACTGACAGCCAGTACCAGGAACTGGCTGAGATTTTACCCTCAGTCACTCATCTGTCCTTGCAACAATGCTCTGAGGCTGAGCCTGTTGCAACTCCCACTTTGAGAAAATGGGCAAATGTGGAGAGTTTAAATAATTTGCCTGGGGTCACACAGTAAGAGTCAGAGCAGGAACTTGCATGCAGGTGTCTGGTTCTAGAGCCAGCATCCTTCTCTACTCCACTGAAACTCTACCACCATTACATACCAGGGACCCTGCTGAGGACAGAAATGCAGGAGATATAGCTGCTGCCCTATGGCAGCCCCTGGTCTAGCTGAAGAAAAGACATTCCAGTATCTGGTTTCAGTGCTACATGAAAGGAACTGAGATGTGTTCTAAGCACAGCAGATCCCGTTTCAGAGGGGAATGGAGTGGAGGACAAGGGCTGCCGCCAGCTCTGTTTTGGTTCCCACTACACCAACAGCCAAGACTCCAGGTCACATCCTGAGGGATGGAGAGGAAGTGCCTGCAGAAAATCCCTGGCACAGAACCCTATCCAGCCTTGCTCATGTGCCTGTGCAGGTCCTGGGGTGGGGGGTGGATACTCAAAGTCAGAGGAAGCTTGAGAACCTGCACAGGATGCCCTGGACACCTGGAGCAGATGGTGTCTGGCATCAGGAATGGGGGCTTGGCCATACCCCATCCAATGGCTTTAGTGTGGTTCAGGGGGAGCCCAGTGTGGGATGGTCCCACAAACAGCCAGGCAGGCCACACTGTGCCATGTGGGGTGAGGACACTGCCAACTTGCCTCTCAGTTTACCATGCTGGTTTCCTTAGTAAACTTCCAGCTTTCTGGGAACAGGAAGCTGCCATTTATCACCAGGAAAACATGGTGGGAGACAGGCACACAGGCTGGCTCCAAGCTGGCAGGAAGGGTGGGGCTGAGTTGGATGGAGAGGTCCCTGTCTTCTACCTCTGTCTACAGTCCTGGCAGCCAGTCAGGCCTATAGTCTGATCTGAGAGTCACTGTGCCCTGGGCCTGTCACACTCTCAGTGGGGCTCTATAACTGATGCTGTGTCAAGGCCAGAAGGAAAGCAGTACCACTCATGCTGTCCTCCAGAAGAGAAACACCTGGGCACAGGAGAAAACCCTGGGCTACTCTGGGCCTCAGTTTCTCACCCATAAAATAGAAAGACCCCTCTTAGTCCTCTGGTGTGAGGCTGATTGTCTGGAGAAGGGACCGGAGAGAATTTCAGGGGTCTCTGGGAGACAGTGGAAGTTGGAGAAGGTTGCTTTTTAACTCCTATAACTTACAGGGTGATGGGACAGAAGGCCACATGAACATAGGGATTACTGACCCTGGCAAGGCCAAATGATCTGCAGGTCTCAAGTGGGCAGCCTGGTGCTACCTCTTTCTGAGCCCCTCTTCCTCCTCTATCTACCCCTACTCAGCTGTTGGTAGGAGCCACCAGGTCTGGTGGGAACATCCCTGTGAGGCATTTCTGTGATGGTTCCTTCCCAAAGGCCCAAAAGAATGCTTTTAGAAACATGTCCCAGACCTGAAAGAGGACCCCTTTATCTCAGGGGACCCACAAGTCTGTTGCCAYTGGCAAGGGGCAGCTCCTCTTGACTTTACCTCCTACATCCAGAACCTGATAGTGTCCTCTCCTTTCTCATCCTCCCAGCCTCCCCTCTGGCTAGCTCGGTCAGGTCTCCCTAGCCCCTGGAGTCAATAACGACACCAGCCACCTTGCCAGGACTCTCTCCTTAGCTCTTGCACCCTCTGTTGCTAGAACGGTCTCTTAACCACAGACTGAACCATGACAGTCTGGGCTCAGACCCTTCAGTGGCTCCATGCTGGTGGCAGATGAAGTGCAAAGGACTTCAGTGGGGGCCACAGGGCCTCCGAGTTCTGGTCCCTGGCCCTGCATCCAGCTGTCTTGAACCTGTTTGGGCCCTTGTGAACTGTGCTCCATCCGCTGCCCACTTAAGGCCCCTCAGCCAGGAAAGCCAGGCCTTTCCCTGGCCCTTTCTTCTCTAGCGGTTCTTCTAAACCCCAGTTCAACAAACACAAGCTGCCCCTGGTACTGAGCAGCTCTGCTCCAGTGTGCTGACAGTGAGGCCTGGGTGCAGGTGGTGGTGGAATCTGACAAGAGCTGACACTCACGTTCTGTTTCATTCCCTTTTATTATAAACACCCCTTTCAAATTGACTAACTTTGTAAGGAAAATAAGTATTTTCTTAAAATAAAAGAATGCTGCAAACCCTTAACCCTGATGCCATCTCTTGGAACCCCCTGGCCCCTGCCCAGTTGAGTCAGGTGCCCCCTCAGGCACATACCAAGCTGACCCAGGCCATCTGCCTGCTTATGTGTAGCTCAGACACTGAGCCCCTCACCATGACGTGGAAGGCCACATGAATATAGGGATTACTGACCCATTTTACAGGCAAGAAAGCTGGAGTTCAGAGACGTGACTTCCCTGAGTCATGTGGGTCTGGAGCTGGGCAGGAGCTATTCCTATGCTCTTTCCCCTGTCTTGTTAATTCCTCTAAAAGGGGACTTCCATAAGTGTGGCCTCGTCCTCTAGCAGGCCAGTTACACAGGGATGGGACAGCAGGGCCAGAGAGTCAGAGGCAGGCTGCCCATGGCACCAATCATAGGTTGGCTCAGAGAAGGTTCAGCAGGCAGAGTATGGGGTGAGGTCAGTGCCAGCAAACCCTGCAGGTGTCAGGAAGGGTGACAGAGGTACCACTTGTCACCTGTTTTTGGTTTTTTTTTGGTGTGTGTGTGTATGTGGGGGTGTGTGCTGGGGATTGAACTCAGGGCCTCACACATGCTAGACATGACCCCAGGTTTTTATCACCTGGTTAGGGGCAGGAAGGCAGACCTCTGGAGAGTCTGGAGTCCTGGGTCACAGAACCTCAGAAAAGAGAGGAGAGAGTCAGCCTCACTGAAAAGGGCGGGCCCAGGTACCAGCTGGTGTGGGGTGGCAGAGCCTTTAGGGGCTTTCTGTTCTTCCAGGCCCTGCAGAAGAGAAAGCMCTGGGGGCTCTGCGGGCCTGTGAGGCACCAGTTCTCCGAGTACCCACCAGAGAGCTCCCTGCAGCACTGGACAGCCCCAGGGGACCTGTATGGGCATACCCTTGCCCGGAGGAGCAAAGCAGGCATGACTCTGGGAAAAACAACTGCACTCAGGGCCAAGAAGACACCCTCAGACAGTGCTCCCTGGCAGCCCSTGAGGAGGTGAGGCTCTGGAGAAGGTGGAGGTGCTTATAAATTACTCTGGTTTCAAAGACCCAGAAAAGGTGAACACAAAGCCCATGCTGGGCTAGGAGAGGTTTGTGACGGCAGGGAGACTATCTGAGTCCATCCTGAAGCTTGCAGTCACCTTCCATCCCTGGGAAAAAAAGGCCTCCAGCCCTGGGTACCCGGGAGCTTCTTGGAAGGGCTCCTGAGGGTGTGCACTGATCACACACTCCTGGAGGGTTTCAGGAAGGATGCTGCCATGGACAGCAGCATCTAACAGTCGAGGCACGGAGGCTGGGCTGGCAGGAAGGAGACCTGGAGCACAGCCGTCATCACCTGGCTAGCTGTGTCTCGCCTGCCTCTACTCACGCTTCCTACCTCCCTTTCCACTCCAGACAATGCTCTCCCTGTGCTTTCTGTGTACAGTGCCTTCCTTTGGGGCCTGTACCTGCTATTCCTCTCTCTGGAACACTCTTCCCCTCCTCTTTCCTCTTCTACCTCCTAATCAGTTTTCAGGTCTCACCTTACGMGTCACTTCCTCCAGGAAGTCTTCCCCACTGGGACCTCCCCTGATCTGGTTAGAGATCTTACTTGAGCTTCTGGGTATCCTTCTCCTCTCCCCACCGCCCCCTGATTGGAGTTGCTGGTTAGCTCATTGCCTTCCCTCCTAGACCAGAGGCTTTCAGAGGGGTGGACTCTGGTATACTTTACTCAGCATTGCACCCCGTACACTTTGCCAGGTGCTTGGGTATGTTCTCAACAAATAAATCACACCCCCCCCACACACACACTCCCCACCCTCACACCCACACATTTTTGGTGGTACTGGGGATTAAACCCAGGGATGCACCACCACTGAGCTACATCCCCGGTCCTTTTTATTTTACGAGACAAGGTCTCATTAAATTGCACAGGCTGGCCTTGAATTTATAATCCTTATTACTCAGCCTCCCAAGCAGTCAATTTGTTGAATAAATAAATAAATATATGAACAAAATCTACCCCTGAGGGGCTGGAGTTGTGGCTCAGTGGTAAAGCACTTGCCTAGCATGTGTGAGGCACTGGATTCGATCCTCAGCACCATACAAAATTAAACAAGTAAAATAAAGGTATGTTGATCATCTAAAACTAAAAAAAAAAATTTAAAAATTAAAAAAAAAAAAACTCAAAAAACAAAACACCCCTGAAGGATGTGGTGATTTTGCAAGCCCAATGGGAAGTTCTCTGCCCAGCCCTGGCATTGCTCAAGGAGCCGCCTTGAGTGTGTGTGGCCTGTGCATGTAGAAGGTACTCACCTCTTGCTCAGCTCCTTCAGGGCACCACTTCGACATAGGCCCAAGTAATCCCCCAGAAGCTTCAGTTGTTCCCGGTTCCTKCCAATGAGGCGCATCTGCTCCACATGCTCGTACAGAGAGGCATTCACCAGCTGCAGGTTGACCAGGGGCTGGGCCCGGATCTGCGCCAGAAACTTCAGGGCCTGCCGACAGACCTGGGGGCACCACGGAAAGGCTGGCTGTTAGAGACGCCTACACTGCCCAGCTCTCACCTGCCCTGTAGCCCTCTCCAAGGGATGTAGCACTAGCTTCATCTTATAGACTAGGAAACTGAGGTTCAGAGCGATGATGCTACTTAGCCAAGAGCACACAGCTCAGAAATGGTACAGTCCGATTCCCAAACCAGCTTTTCCTCTAATGAGTAAAATAAAAGGAGGCCCCCTCCCAACCATGACAAGATATGGGAGGTCACTCTGGATAAGGCCCCCTCCTCCGGGCCTCACAGATCTTTCCCACTCTTTCCTGTAAGCCCAACTTCCTTTTCCTGCCTATAGGAAACAGGTGCTCCCCTCTGGGCCCTGACTCAGGAACCAGGTGACTGGTGTTGCGGCTCTAGCTACAGGAAACCACAGAGCAGACACAGCTTAACAAGGTTCCCCAAGTGCACTGGGCTCTTGCCAACAACCACCAGGACTCCCCTGTGACTCTGTGGAGCTGAGTGATCAATCTCAGCTTCTCTCAACAGATTGAAAGAGGGTTGAAGGTTCTACCCAAGATCCTGGCCCTAATACAGTTTGCCAGACATAGGGAGGGACCTTGATCACATCCTCTTTTCATCCACAGAACAAGCCATGGGGAGAGGTGGCATCATTTCTATTCTATAGATGAGGAAACTGAGGCTCTGAGAAGCTGAAGTATCTGACCTGCCTGTGGAAAGTGGAGCCCAGGTCTGAGCTGCAGTGTTGTTTCTGAACACCAGGCAGCCACTCTGACTAAAAGAACTCCTTGTGGCATGCTAAGGAGCTGGGGCTAACTGGAGGAAAATCAAAGGATCTATGCCAGGAGACTATTTAGCAGTGCTGGGAATTGAACCCAGGTCCTTGCTAGGCAAGTGCTCTACCACTGAGCTACATCCCAGCTTCTCCACCCCCTTTCTTTTATTTTGAGACAGGATCTTGCTAAGTTGCCAAGCTGGCCTTGAACTTGGGATCCCCCTGCCCCAACCTCCCAAGTGGTTGGTATTACAGGTGTGTGCTACCATGCCTGGCAGATTATTTTGAGTTTATATTAAAAGATATTCCATGCAAGTATTTGGCAAAGGGCCTGGCACAGAGTTCATCTTCAGTAAATGTGAACTTCTGTCAGCGACTGTTTAAGAGCCTGTCTGTCCCTTTGAGGGTCAGAGAATGTAATGGGGCTCTCAGAATTGTCCCTATATCTGGGAGCTGGGGAGACCTCTGGCCTCCTGTCTCCCAGCTCCACCAGCAACACTCTTCTCCCCCTGCCATGGACAACTCCTTTTCCCATATCCTAGAGCCCTGAGGTAGCAGTCCCCCAGCCCGAGGGCAGCCCAATGGCAAACCCCTGGTGACTTGGGTCAAACTGCTGCCCTCCAGCCATGGCTCAGCTCTCCTGTAACAGCCTCTGTCTGGCCTTGAGTGAGGCTCAGATGAAATACACACAGGAATGAGTGCCAAACACTGCCCAGTGCTAGAGACTGGCAGGGACTTTGTGCTCCCCAGGGGCTGTCCCTATCCTGTGGGCGTGGAAGAGAAAGACAAAAGCAAAAACCACACTCTGGGGCTGACATCCTGCCAAGTGCCAGCTGGGCTTCAAAACAAGTGGGTCAGCCAGAGCTGCAACAKCAAACAATAAGGCCCCAAAGCCCTGGCCAGCCACTTTCTGTTTTGAACTTTCTTGTCTCTCTCAGGTCATTGATCTTTGATAGAGAGCTGGATATTTCCTGATCTCAGATAAGCCTAGAAAAGTTTTGCAGTTTCCTAGGGAGAAGGAAGGAAGAACACAGGATTCCAGCACTGAGTAAGGAGGTGGCCCGACCAAAGTATCGGGGTCTGGGGAAGAGGGAATGTGCTCACGGTCAAAGGTGCATTCCTGGTGACTCTGAGGGTTAGTTTTCTGTGCATAGTTAGTTAAATACTACTGAGGGCAGGGGTGGTGATGGGTGAACAACAGAATGGCCAAAGCAAAGCCAACTTTGGGGTTTTTCCTCCCTAGAGGAGTGGAATTTACTTGGAGTCGCCTTCCCTGAATTCTGAGGACACATCCATGAGGCAAGACTGTGTAGTGTGCAGGTCCTGGGCCTCGAGAGAAGAAAACAAYTGCTTCCTTGTGTTTCTGTGTTTGTCTTGTGTCTGCTTTGGAAAGAAGGCAGATTTGAAAGGAGAGGGTAGCATTTGAGATAGGATAGAATAGGATGGAATAGGACAAGACAGGACAGGAAAGATTTATTAATGGATTTATGGTTGAACAGATGAATGGATGAATAGGTAGACAGATGGGTGGTCTTGAATTAGGGACTGAACAAGTGAATTAGGGATAAGAGATAGGACTGGCCTCAGGGGAGGGAAAGGGCACTGTTAGAAGGCACTGTTCTAAGTGATAGGCAGTACTACCACAGTCTTCACAATAGACCCACGACATACACTATTTTTTTTTCATTTTGAGGGATCCTAGGGATTGAACTCAGGGCACATAACTACTGAGATGGCTTTTTTATATTTTATTTAGAGACAGGGTCTTGCTGAGTTGCTTAGGGCCTCACTAAGTTGCTGAGGCTGGCTCTGATTTCTTGATTCTCCTGCCTCAGCCTTCCTAGCTACGGGGATTACAGGTGTGTACCAATATGCTCGGCCTGAGACATACACTATTATTAAACCCCTTTATGAAAAGAAAAACAAACTAAAAACCTTAAGAGATTAGGGATCTGAAGCTAACTTGCTCATGACAACACAACTAGAAAAGTGGCTATAATCCTAATGGCTTAGGAGGCTAAGGCAGAAGGATTGCAAGTCTGAAGCCAGCCTCAGCAACTTAGCAAGACCCTAAGCAACTTAGTGAGAAATTGTCTCAAAATAAAAAATTAGGGCTGGGGTTATAGTTCAGTGGTAGAACATTTGCCTATCACATGTGAGGCACTGGGTTTGATTCCCAGCACCACATAAAAATCAAATCAAATCAAATAAAGGTATTACGACCATCTACAACTAAAAAAATATTTTAAAGAATTAAGAATTTTAAAAACCCAAAAGGACTGAGGATGTGCTCAGTTGTTAAATGCTCTTGGGTTCAATCCCCAGGAAAGGAAGGAAGGAAGGAAGGAGGGAAGGAAGGAGGGAGGGAAGGAAGGAAGGAAGGAAGGAAGGAAGGAAGGAAGGAAGGAAGGAAGGAAGGAAGGAAGGAAGGAAGGAAGGAAGGAAGGAAGGARGGAAGGAGGGAAGGAAGGAGAATGAGACAGACAGAAAGGAAAGAAGGAGGAAGGAAGGAAGGTGGCTAAGCCCACCTAGAGAAGAGGACAATCTGAAAGATCTTAGAATATATCTTATTCAAAGAAAAAAAATATCTTGTTCAGAAGCATCTGGTGGACATACAAGAGTACCCAAGATATAATATTAGGGGCTAGGGATGTGGCTCAAGCGGTAGCACGCTCGCCTGGCATGAGTGCGGCCCGGGTTCAATCCTCAGTACCACATACAAAAAACAAAGATGTGTGTCTGCCGAAAACTAAAAATAAATATTAAAATTCTCTCTCTCTCTCTCTCTCTCTAAAAAAAACAACGATATAATATTAAGTGAACAAGATGGGAGAGAGGAAGGGAAGGGAAGTAGGGAAAGGAAGGACAGCAGAATAAAATAGACATTATTATTTCTGTATGTATATATATGACTGCATGACCAATGTGATTCTGCAACCTGTACACTCAGAAAAATGAGAAATTATACCCCATCTGATTCAAATGTATAATACGTCAAGATCATTGTACTGTCATGTGTAACTAATTAAAACAAATTTAAAAAAAAAGAAAAAAAATTAAGTGAACAAAGCAGGATGAGTCCAATATGATCCCAGCACATGTGAGGCACTGGGTTCGATTTATAAAAAATAGATGCATGTGTAAATTAATGCACAGAAAAGGCTGCCCCCCAGAATATTAGTAGTGATTACCTCTGGGTGATGACACATAATTTTGACTGATTTGTCTTTGGGCTTTTCTGTAAGTTTTAATGTTGAACAATAATCCTGTATTGGACTGGGGTTGTGGATCAGTGGTAGAGTGCTTGCCTAGCATGTGCAAGGCACYGGGTTCGATTCTCAGCACCGCATATAAATAAATGAACAAAATAAAGATCCATCGACATCTTAAAAAAAAAAAAAAGTCCTAGTTTTCTGCATAGGGAAAGCTTTTAAAAAAAATAACCATATATTATCTTTATAACGGGTAGAGGCCCAGAAAAAGTGCACTTTTTTCCCCCCAGCCATATATATATATATAATAATAATTATTATTATTTTTAAAATTTAGAGACAGGGTTTTGCCAAGTTGCTTAGGGCCTCACTTGCTGTGGCTGGCTTTGAACTTTTTTTTTTTTTAAGAGAGAGTGAGAGAGGAGAAAGAGAGAGAATTTTTAATATTTATTTTTTAGTTCTCGGCGGACACAACATCCTTGTTGGTATGTGGTGCTGAGGATCGAACCCGGGCCGCACGCATTCCAGGCGAGCACGCTACCGCTTGAGCCACATCCCCAGCCCCTGGCTTTGAACTTGCAATCTTCCTGCCTCAGCCTCTCAAGTCGCTGGGATTACAGGTATGGACCACCACACCTGGCTAAAAGCACACTTTGGAAAACATGAAATAAGTAGCCCACACAGGGCTTGCAGTCACCTGGGGCCCTCAGGGTTGGCAAAAGTAAGGTTGAATTGCTCTTTGGGGTGTGGCCAGCTGGCTGGACTGTACATTTACTTATCCAGCAATCCACCCACCCAGCCATCTACCTAACTCCATCCATCTATCCATCTATCCACCCACCCACTCAACTATCCAGCCACACATCCATTGACGTATCTGATCTATCTTATCCTGTCCCTCCTTCCTATCTGCCTGCCTATCTACCTAGTTGCTGGTGCCTTACACAGTTCTGTCTGTTTCTTGGAAGCTGCAGAGAATCATCTTCAGAGGTCTACTGGGGACTCAGGCAGGTGTTTTCAGARCTCTGTTTGGGAACTGCAGATAGGCACCAAGCTTTTCTCTTGGTCTTGAACCAGTGATCTTGCTCCCTAGAGCCAAACCACTTCAAACATACAAACAGCAGCAGCAAAAAGGGGAGGATATTCCTCTGTCATTCAGCAGCCATGTAGGACCATGACTCGCTGGGCCTGAGACTTACCGGGCGCTTGGTGAGGTCCCAGTTGTGGATAATTCTGGCCGGAATCACTGAAGTATCATCTTGGTGGCAGATGTCACARTAATAGAGGCCAGAGAAGGCACAGAGTTTGGGTCGTTCAAAGGAGAAGCCAATCTGCCGGGAGCAGCCTGGGGAGATAGGCAGTGAGCAGAGAGGGGCAGAGTCAGCTCCAGGTATCACAGAGCTACTATGGTGGGAGGAGCCTGCTAGTTATATATAAATATATATATATATATATATATATATATATATATATATATAACATAACTAATGTATATATATGTTATATTTTTTAAAAGAAGAGCACAAGGGTAAAAATGACTCACTTATATTTCCACCACTAATGATCAACACTATTAATGTAACAATACACTATTAGAATTACTATCACACGGCTGAGGATGTGGCTCAAGCAGTAGCTCGCTCGCCTGGCATGCGTGCGGCCCGGGTTCAATCCTCAGGACCACGTACAAACAAAGATGTTGTGTCTGCCAAAAACTAAAAAATAATAAATATTGAAATTCTCTCTCTCTTGCTCTTTAAAACAAAAATTACTRTCCCCATCTTACAGCTAAAGAAATTGATGCTCAGAGGTGAAGAAATCTGTCTGGTTACACAACAACTAGTTTACACAGTGGAAATCAAATTTGGGCTGGGTTGGTCCCAAGCCTGAGATCTCTTCCATGATACTCAGCGTCCTTCATCCAGTGGTTCTGCTTGCTCCCCAATGCCACCTCCTCTCCATCCACCCCCTACCGGGGCCCAGTAATGGAAGCAACCAAGTCAGGGCCAGCAGTGAAGGAGCTGAGGAAGGGGCCACGGTAGTGGATGGGGAAGCCAGCAGAAGCCAGGGTGGCCTGGACATTTCCTGAGACCAGCTTGAACCCTGAGCAGCCTGTTATCTCAGGGGAGTGGGATAGGGCCAGTTTCAGCCGCTTGGTTGAAGGTCTCAGGGGGCACTGGGAGTGGGATGTGGCTGAGGCAAAAATCTAAGGCTGGCTCAAATCCTGAACACATGTTCTGCCTCCCACAGGGGCAGGGGAAAGGGTCCCCCTACCACTGAGCCACTTTGTCCTTGGGACCAAAGTGCAGGATCTCTTGCTTAACAGCTGGCTCACCCTGACCTTCACCTAATTTTCTCAAGGTTTCATTTCAGTGTCTATAAAACTCAGCTGCTACTTGCTATTTTTGTGGGGATATTACAAAGTAATAATGAGACCATATTCTGAAAGTGACCTGCAAACTGAAATACAACCCAGTGTGCACCAATGTCTGCCCAGCCACGGGGCTGTGCTACAGGGTGGAGAGGAAGCAGGAAGTCGGGGTTTCACAGTCCTGGCTGTCAGGCTGTCAGGTGACAGCCATGGGGAGACCTGTTCTCTGTGACAGCACTTACTTCACAGGTGGGAAGTGTCCCCTCACAAGTGCTAAAGTCCTGCCCCTTGGGCTGAAGAGAGAAGGGTGAGTTCTGGGGCAGCAGTGCTGCTTGCAGGTGTTTTCTGTAGGAAGCTCTGCTCAGCCTGTTTCTCCCATCTTCCAGGGGGCCACTGCAGGCCACTTCCTTCCAGACATTTAAGGAGGCTTTCCCCTCTGGTCCTGCAGGCTCCTCCCTTCCCCCAAGTCATCCCTGAAATTGGAACTCAACTTATTGTGGCCTTCTGCAGCAGTGCAGCTGGCATGTCCCCCTGCACAGGGGAGTGAGTGGTACATCACATAGGCTTGGACAATTCAAGGGCAGAGAGCCTCTGGGGTCCTCTCCACTAGCACAGGCTCTGAGAGAGCAACCATCAAGGTCCAGTTCTGTCTCTAACATTTACTAGCTGTATGAGCCTGAGCCAAGGCACTTACCAGCTCTGGGCCTCAGCTTCCTCACCTATAAACAGAGTAACAGCCCCAGTCTCTACTAAATGAGATAATCCAAATAAAGCATCTGGCTCAGTGCCCCACACAAAGGTATTAGATTCAATGGTGATAATAACAAGGCAGATGCAGTGACATGAAATAATACCCATAATGTATTACTAAGGAGAAAAAAACAAATTGCAGAATAACACATAGAGCTGTGCTGCCCGAGACAGTGCCATGCACCATAGGTGTCCTTTTTAAGTGAATTTAGCAAATTAAAAAAAAAAATTTTTTTAGTTGTAGAAGAATACAATACCTTTATTTTATTTATTTTTATGTGGTGCTGAGGATCGAGCCCAGGGTCTCACACATGCTAGGCAAGTGCTTTACCACTGAGTCACCACCCCAGCCCTTAAGTGAATTTAAATGRAAAACAGTTCCTTATGCACACTAGCCACGTGTTAAGCACCCAGTGACCACACGTGGCTCACAGCTACCACAGCAGACAGCACAGATCTAGAACTTTTCATTAACACAGGAAGTTCTACTGGATAGCATGGAATAGCATGACTTGCAAAAACATGCACAAATATTTGCTTTGGGAGAATCCCAGGCCCCTTTTGTAAAAGAATATGACAGTGTAGCAAGAAGATAATGCAGAAAGGAGACAGCAACAGGAAGCATGGTTGTCACCCACAGGTCCCACCCAGCAGCAGGAGAGGGGAGAGACAGGGGGCTGCCCAAGAGCAGGCAGCTGGCCCCACTGGGTGCTGGGGAGGTGCAGAGGCTTCCTGGAAGCCCACTGATACGTCAACTCAGGGGAAGGATGAAGGCACAGGGAGGGCCCCAAATCAGGAAGTAGAGCAAGGCTGGCAGGCAGTGGGTGGTGGGAGTCAGCACCTGCRCAGAAGCAGCCCTGGGAGTCCAGGCCTTTCTCCGTGGGGATGGCCACCAGGTACTGCAACAGGAAGCCATTCTCCCGGGTGGCGAACTTCAGCACCTCCTGACAGTTTTCATCCAGACTCCCGCCAAGTGTCACGGCCTCCTCGGCTGTCTCCAGGTATGATGCCAAGACCTTGCGGACCAGGTCCCTCCACAGGGCAGCCTCCTCGGCAGTCCCTGCCTGCAGCTTCAGCACGGCCTTGGCTGTGATGATTTTGAAAAAGGCCGGGCCCCCTAGGCTTGTGTCCGGCAGGATGTCTCGGATGGTCTCTACTCCATGGCTGTCACTTAGCATCTTCTCATTGTTTTTCACTCGAAAGCATTTAAGAGACTCCAAAGACAGGGAAAAAATATAGGGTATCCAGGTCCTGTCTGCATACAGGTACAGAAGGGATTCTTTGATAGCATCTGGCTCCGGAACTTGGGCAGATGTCCAGTCAAACTGTGTGCCCTGGGGGACTGTGGGCTCCGGAAGCAAGGCTGAGTAAGAGAGGTGTCCACCTAGGGGAACCTCAGCGGGGTCCTCAGGTTGGTCTGGATACTGGATGTTCACCCACTCGTCCTCCTGCTGAGGCCGGACCTTCTGCAGGGCCTCCYGCACCCGGTCAAGCCAGTCCTCGGCCTCATCCTGAGAGGAGGCACGCAGGGCCAGYTTCTTGCCAGAGAAGACTAGCTCAAAGCGCCCATCGCTGTGGGCCGGCCCCACTGCCTCACAGCGCAGCAGAGAGCAGCTTTCCACACAGGTGCGCTCCTCATCACTCAGGTAGAGGCGGAGCTCCAGCGGGGAGAGCTCGCAGAAGAACTCCTTCCAGATGCCCATGGCCCCTCGCCGAGCCACTGTGCCCAGCTTCATGAGGCCCCGGAATGGGTTGGACAGCCCTAGAAGCAGAAAGAGGCACTTTAGAGTATGAGCCACAGTGGAAATCCCCAGAACACAGCGGGTCGTGGGCCACTGTCAGATGGGATTCTGAAAGCTGGATGGGAATATTTTTGAGCACCTTGGCCAATCCTCCTCAGCACTGACCTCATTTCCTGCACTTTGGTGAGAAGATGAATGTGCTCATATACACTCTGGCATCTGGGCCTTCATTGGACCTTGCCTCCTGTCATTAGGTTGTGCTTCTAAGYGAGGCCAACTCCTCCCCACACCCACACAAGGCCAAGGACACCTTTCCAGCAATTCCCTTTCTCCTGTGTCGCTCTTTCCTCCCTTCTCTACTTGATCAGGCCCTCTGGCACACAGAATGCTGTAATTTCTCCCATCTTTAAAATCTCTCGCCYCAACTCACATCTCTAATTACCACTTTGTTTCTTAGTCCTTTTTACAGAAAACCTGCTTAAGAAGTACAGGCATCTCTGGCTCTATTGCTGCTCCCATTCCTTCTTGAACCTGCTCCAGTTAGACTTCTGACTTCTCACTTTACTGAAACTACTCCTGGGAAGGCCACCAATACCCTCCTTGTGGCCAAACCTAAGGCCTCCCTGGAGGCCGTACCTGACCCTTTATCTCCTCAGCTCCCGGACCTCTCAGGGCTGGAGCACTCTGGGGCTCAGCCCTGGGTCCCTGTCTGCTCTGTGGATACCCACTCCCTAGCTGAGCTTACCTGCTCTCAGGGCTTTATGCCAGCAGACCCTGCCCCCTTTTTTCCTCTAGCCTGGACTTCACCCATGAACTTTAATACATCCACCTGCTCCACATATGTCTAATAGATGTCTTAAAGCTGACATGCCAAAAATGAATTCCTAATTTTCTTGCTGCAAAACTGCTTCTTCCCTAATGTTCTTTATCTCATAAAATGGAGAACTTCATCCTTCTAGTTTCCTAGGCTAAAAACCATAGAGTTATCCCAGATTTTTCTTTTTCACCTTATATCCAAACCTTCAGCAAATCCTCTTCAGCAAATCCTCTGAGCTTCATTACATATCTATTAGTCCCCTGCTTCTCCCCCACCTCTACTACCTCACAGCTCAGGCCACTGTCATCTCTTTCTTGGATTATGACGACAGTCCCCTGACTGGTTTGGCATCCCCTGCTGTCCTTCAGTATAGGAGCKGGAATGATTAGTTTAAAAGATAAGCTAGAACATGTCCCTCTGCCATTCTGTCCCCAGAACAAATGCCTACCTACCTTTCATGGTCCATAGGCCTCCATGCCACTGACCTCATCTCTCACCACCCCTCCCCACTCTGCGCCAGTTGCTCTGGTCACCACTGTCCCCTGAACATGTTAAGCATGTTCTTGGCACAGGATTTGCATTTTTCTCACAGTTTGAAACACACGGATGACCTCATGCCTYCTTCCCTTCTCCCTTCCCATGACCTCACATGTCACCCTATTTGTGAGGGTGCTCTGGCTACCCTCTAGCCTGGCACYCCTTGACTCCTTATTTTCTAGGGCTCTAATCACCACCTAACCACCCTCTATGATTACTTGACAGTTTTTTTTTTTATTTCCTGGATCCCTCTGCCAGAATCCAAGTCCCATATGCTTCCCCCTGTGTCCTACACATCTAGAATACTGCCTGGCACATTAGAGACACCAACGAATACCTGCTCAATGAACAAAGGAATGAAGGCCTGTGACCCACACTGCTCAATGCTCCTTGCTCCTCTGGAGTCTGCTACATTATAAGGAGGGGTCCAATATCCCCCAGCCTGGAGATTTGTACTGCATAGGATTTCCTGACCCCATGGATATCCTAAGTAAGAAGCATACCACTGGGGGTAAGGGTTGTGGCTCAGTGGTAGAGCGCTTGCCTAGTATGTGTGAGGAACTGGGTTTGATGCTCAGTACCACATAAAAATAAATAAAAAAAATATTGTGTCCATCTACCACTAAAAAAAAAAAAAAGAAAGAAAGAAAGAAAAAGAAAAAAAAAAGAAAGAAAGAAAAAAAAAGAAAGAAAGACAAAGAAAAAAGCACACCTTCTCAGACATGATTAGAGACCACAGCCAAAAGCAGGTGGGACAAACCCAAAAGAAGCCAACATGGAGACCAGGGCTCTTCCCACCCAGAGCCCCATGGACCTGACAGAATTCTCACCTAGGTCACTATAAACAGAAAATGAGAAGAAACTGATGCCAGGACCCCATTATTTTGTTTGTTATAAAAGGAACTCATTTTGAGGGTTACAGAAAAATTAGGTTATGGTTATTTAGTGCTTTTTGGAATTTCATAGGGTGGGACCTTCACAATAAATAGCACATGGAGGACAGAAACAAAYACAAGACCTGATAAAGCCCACCAGCTTTGTTAAATGAACCATCTAAAATAAGGCTTTTAGAAGGAGCTGTTAGAACACCTCGGCCTCCAAGGTGCAGGGTGCTCTGAGCACAGAGGGAATCAAGAATCCTCTGTAATTCTCAATTTTATAGTGCAATTTCAGGGAGCGTATTTCTGTTTCAATATATGAAATAGTATTTTAATTCTCTGTAGATAGGTTTTAACACTATCTCAATAAGATTTTATAAGAGAAGACAGTACTTTTCCTAAAATGCTCTCCTGAATTACTAAGCACGAGTATGCCTCTTATTACATTCTGATATGAAGTTTCTCTAGGAGAACACGCCACCCATTGGATAATGGCAAACAAGACTTTACAACTGCACGGTCCCTGCCGAGCCACCTACCCATCTGCCTGCGGTGCACCACCCGGAAGTTCTTATGCTCCGGAGCTGGTGCTGCCCTGGCTTTCCTGCTTCCTGGGGAAGGCACACATGCTTTGTCTAATGCCCCCAGGGAGCAGCTCTTTCTTGGTCCTTGAGAAAAATGCCTGTGGAGAGCAGGCCTTGACTCTGGAGTCCCTCGAGCACCAGCTCCGGAGCCATCTGCGGTGCTCTCAGGGGCTTGCTCCTGGGTAGGCCGGTAGAAGTCATCTTCAGAGATCCAGTTTCTGCTTTTCTGTTGAGAAAGAAGTAAAGATAGAGATTGTCTGATGTTTAAGGTTTAAAAAATTATATACCATAAAATGACGCCCCCCCACTTTTTTTTGTGGTGCTGGGGATTGAACCCAGGGCCTTGTGCATGCGAGGCAAGCACTCTACTAACTGAGCTCTATCCCCAGCCCAAAATGAACCCACTTTTAAGGGTATATAATTCAATAATTTTGGTATATTCYCAGAGTTGTGCAACCATCCCCTTAATCTAAGTTCAGAACATTTTCATCACACCAAAAAGAAACCCATACCTACTGGCAGGCACCCTCATTTCCCCATGACCATTCCGGCTCTGGGAAACCACTCATCTATTTTCTGGTTTTATAGATTTACACAATCTGGCTATTTCATAGAAAAGGAATCATATAATGTGTGATCTTTTGTGACTGACTTTTTTCTCTTAGCATAATGTTTTCACCAAGTATATGTGAAAATTCAAATTCTTTTTTATGGCCAAATAATTGTATAGATGAACCACATTTTATTTATCCATTCATGAGTTGATGGGTATTTGGGATGTTTCCACTTTTGGCTATTGTGATTAATACTGCTATGAAAATCCATGTACATGTTTTTGTGTGGATTCAGGTTTCTCTYTTCTTGGCTACATACTTAGGAGTGGATTTGTGGGGTTGTATGTAACTCTAAGTTTAACATATTGAGGACCTGTTAAACCATTTCCCAAAGTGRCTACACAATTTTACATTCCCACCAACAATTTATGAGGGAACTAATTTCTCTATAAACTCTCCAATGTTTGTTATTTCTTGATTACAGCCATCCTGATGGGTGTGAAGGGCTATCTCATTGCAGTTTTCTTTTTTTCTCTCATTGCTGTTTTGATCTGCACCTCCCTAATGTCTAATGATACTGAACATCTTTTCATGTGTTGGGTGGTATTAATATATCTTCTTTGGGAAAAAAAAACAATTTGAATCCTTTGGCCATTTTTAATTGAGTAATTTATCTTTGTTGTTAAGTGCTGAGTTGTGGCCCCCCTCCCCCGCAAAGRCTTGTTGAGCTCTTAACCCCAGCACCTCAGAATGTGATCTTTATTTAGATGTAGATGTAATTAGTTAAGATGAAGTCATACTAGAGTAGGGTAGACCCTTCATCCAAAACGAGTTATGTCCTTATACAAAGAGAAGGCAAGACACACACAGAGGAGAACACCAGTGAAGACAGAGCACAGAGGGGGAATGCGGGGGAAGGTGGAGGGTGAGTCTACAAGTTCAGCGACACCAAGGTTTGCTGGCTACACTGGAAGTGAAGAGAAAGGAATGGCACAGATTCCTCACTGTAATCTCCAGAAGGAATCAACCCTGCTGACATCTGGATTTTAAACTTCTAGCCTCCAGAGCTATCAAAGAACACATTTCTGTTATTGTAAGCTGTCTGGTTTATGGCACCCTATCATGGCTGCAAGGGTTCTTTAACATTCTAGGAACTAGACCTTGACCCAGTTATATGATTCGCCAGTGATCTCTCCCATTCTTTGTCTGTCTTTTCACTTTCTTTCTTTAATTTGTTCTTTTTAGGTATACACGACAGTAGACAAAAGAGTGTATTTTGACACATCATGTATACATTGAGTATAACTTATTCTAATCTTTCGCTTTCTTTTTTTTTTAATTTAATCTTTATTTTTTTTAATCTATTTATTTTTTATGTGGTGCTGTGGATCGAACCCAGRGCCTCACCCGTGCTAGACAAGTGCTCTGCCACTGAGCCACAACCCCAGCTTTCTTTTCACTTTCTTAATGGTGCCTCTGGAAGCACAAAAGTTTTTAATTTTGATGAAGTCCAATTTACCTATTTTTTTCTTTTGTCTCTGCTCCTGGTGTTGTAACTAAGAAACCATCGCCAAAGCCAGCATCATGAAGATCTACTCCTACGCTTTCTACTAAAAGCTTTACAATTTTAGCTCTTACATTTAGGTCTATGCTCAGTGTTAATTTTTGTGCTAGGTCTAAGGAAGGAGTGCAATTTGATCCCTTTGCAGGTGGATGCCAGCTGCCCATGAGCATGTTGGTTTTTCTGCCCTGCTTATGGGGCTGGAGATGAGGGAGGTGTGGGGAACAGGACTCAGTTCTGTGCCTGCCTCTGCCTTGGCCGCCCTAGAATGCCACCACAGGCAGGTCCTTCCCCGCCCCTTTTGCGGTGCTCTCTGCGTGCCCTCTCTGTCTGAAGCTCACCTAACAGAGGAAGTCAGAGAAGTGTGGGGTCTGTGGGCTAGTGGGAATGAATTCCAGTTCCTTTATTTCACTATTTCAAGCCCTCCCTGCTTCTGTGCCCAAAAATGCAAAAGCAGAGGCAAGGAAGCTGACTGGGCTGTCCTGTGTGGCTGTCTACACAGAGGATATGAGTCACTCRAGGGGTGGGACCAGCCCAGCTGTTTTGTTAAGTGCCATCAGCCTCACCCTGATGTTGCTATTTCCAACCCCTAAATCAAGACATCCTCCTTGCTTATGTAGACAGGGAAGAGGAGCTGGGCTGGGGCTGGCTGCCCCAGAAGGGTACGTTTTCACAGTTTAATCCATTCAGATGCTCTAAGACTCCTAAGTCAAGAGCTGCAAATCTGATTCAGGCACTTGGGGAACCTCCCAGAACTGGGCCCCCAAGGCCTCCTCCACAGACCCTCAGAATTGGCAGGTGCGTCCTCTGCCAGGGATGGGAAGATCTGTCAATGGCTACTGGGGAACATGTACAATGCTGCATTCTTAACAAAGACTGCCTCTGACATCAAGACCCTGAGGAAAACAGGCCGAAGCAGCTCCCTGAAACCATGATGCTATCCTGGCAGCCTCTCACACACTTGTGACATCCTTCCCACCATCTGTAGCCCCTGCTCATAGCCCTGATGGGAGACATCATCCATCACCTCCTCCTTAAGCTTCTTTATTGATTCTCAACCCACACTTCCTCCCACATTCCCAGATGGGCCAGGGTCCCCTAATGAATCCAGTGATATTCTATGCTTAACCCCACCTTGTTTGAACAGTCCTATTTTTCTTGATATYTCCCACTAAAGGACATGGCACAGGGTCATAAAAGATGGGGAATAAATCTTGACTGTCCCAATGTTTTTAGTATAATATAAGAAAGGTGGTTTGAAGGAACTGGAAGGATGGAAACAAATGTGAATGTTATGACCATGGATAGGGAGGGCTTCTCTCTCCAMTGAGGAGAGGGAGACTACTAGGAAATATGCAGACCCTAGTTCACTGACCACAGAGCAGCCTCCAGGAAAAGGTTCTCTAGAGAAAACCTTTGGCTCTCTCAAACAACAGGGAAAAGCTTTGGGAAGCAGATTCCTTGGAAAAAGCACTGAGAGTATGTGTCCTGCAAAACCCTATCAAAGAACACACCTGGCAGGTGCTGTGGGGAGGGAGAAAATGTGCCTGCAAAACCATCACACAGGGGTTCCCTTTTCTCTCTCCTTTACTATGCCTGTTGGTTCAGGGGCTCACATTTGGCCAGCTCCCTGCCCCTTTAATAGTGAGGGGAATCACTACTGACCCAATAACTATATTAGAGTACCACCTGCCACCAGGGACCCAAGACAGAGGAATGCCACCTTGAGTTACTCAGGTACCATGATGACACTGTACACAATAGATAAGTTCCAGAGAGAGAGAGATCTAGCTAAGGAATGCAATGCTGGGTCTCTGGATCACCTTCAAAAGGATTGGACATTCTGTCTAGGCTGTCCTCATTATGACAGGCAAAGGGACTTTGTACCCATGACTGTGCCATAGGTGGGTGGTCCATGGGGGATTGATTTGACCAACTCATAGACAGTCACTCTGGGTAGCTTCCAGTTTTCTGCACCTTCCTACCCAGCACTTAGCACAAGTGTAACTGTGATGTGGATCATCATTTGTCTAATCTAGTGTCTGTCCCCAAAGGGTAGGGATCTTGTCTGTCCTGTTTCATSTCTGTATCCCTAGCATCCACCATGGTGCTTGGCTCATAGTAGATGCTTTCTGTTGAATTAATGAAAAACTAAACATTTTTAAAAGAAAAGCTGAATGGCTCTGAGGGCTATAAAACTTGACATTGACCCCCAAMATTCCTCGAAACATTTTTGCTCAAATAATAAGCATGGAAGCACAGAAAGATAAGGAACTCAGGAACAGGCATGCAGGGCACGGCTCAGCATAACCTTCAGCATGGCTTGGCAGTCACCTTGCACAACCTTTAGGGGCCCATAACATTCATCTTCCAGAAGTACATCCAAAGCCATTTTCAGGATAGTAAATACAGAGAATCTAGCTCACATTTATAGTTATATGATTTATATAGTCATATTCAATAATGTGTGAATATGTAGTGAGACCCCCTAGCAGCTTAGCGAGACCCTGTCTCAAAATAAAAGATAGAAAGGACTGGGGTTTAGCTCAGTGGTAAAGTGCCCCAGGTTCAACTGCCAGTAACCCCTCCATCATGAATATACACAATCTTATGAATACACTAAAACCCACTGAATTATACTTTGATTAATTGTATTTCAAATAAGGCTGTTAGGAAGCGGGAGAAGTGCCTCTCTAGGCTTCATGGCCCTGACCCCAACCTGAGTCATATGATCTAGAAGCTAATACCCAGGGAGAAATAAGCACGGATAGAGCTGAAAAAGCAAGACCACATCCCAACCTGAGCCCCAGATGGCAGCTGGGATAAACTTGGGGTTTTCTAATTTCTGCCTCTGTTTCTCACGACTCTCTTTTGCCCTCCATGGTATAGTTCAACTGTAAAGGCCAGAGAGAGTCATCAGAGAAACTCACACCTACAAAGGGGTTCATTTTCTCTCTTTCACTGTGGCCTCTCTCCCTCTTCCTCTATAGGTCTCCAGAGGCATTCCAGAGCAGCTGCCTTCGCTCACCCTGCCCTGTTAGGTAGCTGGGACTTGAGTCATAGAAAGGGCAGATACCACGCACATACCTTCCTGCAAACACTCAATAAAAGTCAATAACTTTGGGAAATGTCAAAGGCCACAGGAACAAGTGTAAAAGGCTAAGGAGCTCTAGTGCACAGATTGACAGGTGCTTCATTGGGCCAGCAGTCCTAAAGCCTCTYGGCCTACAGCACTCTCAAGGAGAGGCTTTAGGGCTGTCTCTCCTAAGGTTCCTAACAAATCTTACTGGCCAGTGCTATCTACTAGAAAAACAGTGTGGGCCACATGTATAATGTTAAATGTTCTAGTAGGCATATAAAAAAAGGCAAAAAGAGAGTTAGGGGCATAGCTCAGTGGTAGAGTGCTTGCCTCGCATGTGGAAGGCACTGGGTTTGATCCTTAGCTCCACATTAAAATAAGATAAAGGTTCATTTAACACTAAAAAAAAAAAAAAAAAAAAAAAAAAAAATTTAAAAGGTAAAAAGAAACAGGTGAATTTTAATCTATCTTATTTAGTCCAATATGCCCAAAATCTTTTCATTTTAACATGGAATCAATAAAAAAACTCATAAAAATAAAAATTACTGAGGGCTGGGGAGATAGCTCAGTTGGTGCTTGCCTCCAATCCCTAGCATCACAAAAAATATTGAAAGGTTTTTATTCTTTTATCTTTTTCACACTAAGTTGTMAAAATACAGTGCTTATTTTATATAGCATATCTCAGTTTGGACTGGTCATATTTCAAGTGCCCAACAGCCACATGGACTGCCACATTGGACCATGTAGTTCTAAAACCTGGGTCAAGGAAAAATGTGTATTTTTCAAAGCCTGGTATTTTATAAAAATATTAATTTAATGATAATAAATACTAAGGAGGAAACTAAGGCTCAGAGATGCAAAGTCACCTGCCTAAGGCCTTAAGCTGGTGAGTGGTAGTGGTTAAGAGGAGAGACTRTGACCAGGTAGGGATTACCTTCTTCACAGAGTTGATGTGAAGCTACRAGAGGTACATACATGGGAAGTGATTGGCACAGCACCTGGCTCATCTCCACTCCTCACAGCCCAAGAAACACTAGCTCATCATTTCCATGCTATTAACACTACTGCAGGCAGGAGAGGGAGGTTAATGGGGAGAAGGCAGAGACTCAGGGTCATTAGCTGGGGAAACCCTGCTTCTGCTCTGAATCATTTCCCCAGGACTTCCCCAAATCCTGCACCACTCACCGGGCTGGTGGGGRAGGAAACCACAAGCTTCAGTCCAACTGTACCATCCTCCAGGGCCTTCTGCTGGGCACTCCTGTGGCTGACTGCTGCGTCTGTCTCTTTCGTAGCACTAGAGGGCTGCTGGTCTGAAGTGCTCCCCATATGTTCAGCTTGGGCAACATCTGGTTGCTGCACATCTGGGATGTCAGATGCCTGGGAAAGTGATTCCTGCTTGTGACCACCATCTGGGCTCCCAGAAGATGCTTGGGCAGCAAGGGATTCTGCAGGCACATCAAAGTCTAGGTGTGTAMGCGTGGCCAGGGAGAGTGAGGCCTGTGGCGTGGGGATCTCCGTCTTTTGGCTTAGTCCATTGGTTGGCACAGAGTTTACCTGGGCTTTGCTGAATTCTGACAATACCCTAGAAGTTTTTAAACAAAGAAATCTGTGTATAAGATGATGGATAGAAGGCCTAAGGCTACTGGGACAGTGGTAAGAATGGAAAAATGCTGTTCTGTGATTTAAACAACCAAATAAAACAACACTCTCTTCAATACCCATTGCACTCCCCAGCCCCCAGCCCCACACAGCCCTCTAGACATACCCCACAAAGGTTGTCCCTGGTCAGGGCTTAGTCATACCAGATGGTCAGGTGAGCTGTGTAGTCAGGATCTCAGGCAAAATGTTCACAGGGTACAAATGAACACTTGCACATGGAACGAACTGCCTTTCTGAGAGTCTGCTCAAACAAATGGTTGTGTGGGCAATTGTTTCCCCAACACTGTCTGTGACAGAGACTCCAGGACAGATGGTGTCTACAGTGGGGATCCCCATCAGCAAAGCAGAAGAGACACCAAGACTGCTGGGACAGGGACTGGGTGAGATGAGGTTATACTTTGTCTTGTGATAGTCACCAGGGCAGCAGGGAGGGAATGAGGTGCAAGGGTTAATTCCCCTCAGAGCTGGACTGGGTGTGGGATCACAGAAACCTCATGTCCCCAGAAGTTGAGCCCAGTGTACACCAAGAGTAGAAGGGTGTGTACAAGTGTACACAGGGTGTATCTCTTCATGCTCCTGTGGGACTGCCACTCCTTGTCTCTGAGGCGCTTTCTGGGGCCACAGGGAGTCAATGTTACTGTCACAGTATCCATGTATACTGCACAAAACATATTTCTGAGCCTTCTGGAATGTGCCCTGGCTAGTGACTGCTCCTCCCTCGCCTGTGGTTTCTGAGAATCCAAGTTTGTTTTCTAAAATAAACCTATTTGCTGTTTTCTCTTCGGCTTATAAAATCAGCAGAGTTTGCCTTAGATGGTAACAAGGTTGTTTGCAGTCCAAAATCTGCACACATCTACTTAAACTGGGTTCAGAAGATGTTAAACGCCCCTTAATTGGGCCTGACAGACATGAGGATTTTAGCACCCAGGTTGCTTACCTGCTTGTCTTCCCACTGAGCTGTGCTCTTTCCTATGCCATCCTAACTCAAAACATTCCAAGACAGATAGTCAGAATTAGGAGACCAACCCATATACTTACGAGCAACTGACTTTCAACATGGACACCAAGACATTTCAATGGGGGAAAGAACAGTATTTTCAACAAATGGTGCTGGAAATCAGTGAACAGACACATGCAAAAAGAATAAAGTTTGAATGTGATCTCACAAATTAACTCACAATGAATCAAAGACCTAAATGTAAGAGCTAAAGCTATAAAAGAAAGCTAAAGCTTAGAAGAAGATATAGGTATAGTTGGGTGCAATGATGTATGCCTGTAATCCTAGTTACTTGGGAGGCTGAAACAGGAGGATTTTGAGTTTGAGGCCAGTCTGAGCAACATGGTGAGATCCTGTCTCAACAAATAAATTAATTAAACAAATAAATAAGGCATAAATTTTGTGTCTTTGGATTAGGTAATGGTTTCTCAGATGTGACATCTAAGCCTCAGTGATTAATATAGATAAATTGGATTACCTCAAAATTAAAAACTTTTGTGTTCCTAATGATCTATCAAAAAAGTGAGGGGCTTGGATATATAGCTTGGTAGAGCCCTTGCCTACCATGTACAAGGTCTGGATTCCATCCCTAGCACTGATAAAAAATAAAAAAAATAAAGCATAATGACAACACACAGAATGAGAGAAAATATTTGCAGATCATACATAAAAGTCTAATATCCAAATATATAAGCAATTCTTACAACTCAATAATAAAAGACAATCAAATTTTAAAATGGAAAAAGGATACGAATGGACTTTTCTCCAAGAAAGATAACAAATGACAATAAGTACATGAAAGGTATTCGATATCATTGGCTTTCAGGGAAAAGCAAATCAAAACCATAATGAGATACTACTTTATACCCATTATGATGGTTATATTCAAAGAGAATAATAAGACTAGTAAAGACGTGATGAAATTAACTCATATTAGTTGTGAGAATGTAAAACAGTGCAGCTACTGTAGAAAGAGTTTGGTAGTTCCTCAAAAGGTTAATCATAGAGTTACATGTGACCCAGCAATTCTATCCCTGGGTATATGTCTAATAGGCATAAAAATATGTTCACACAAAAACTTGGATATGAATGTTCAAAGAAACATTACCCAAAATAGCCAAAATGTGTGGGGGAAAATGTCCATTAGCTGATGAATGGATGAACAGATACATATACTGGAGTATTATTTAGGCATGATATGTGTTATAAAATGGATGGATTCTGAAAACATTATACTAAGTTGAAAAAAAAAGCCACATATTATATGATTCCATTTATATGAAATGTCCAGAATTGGCAATCCATGGTACTTGTCAGGGGCTTCCCTTTGGGGTGGTGATATTGGTCTTGAATTAGATGGTAATGATGGTGCACAACCTGGTGAACATACAAAATACCACTGAACTATATTCTCTTTAAAAGGTGAATCTTGTGGTATGTGAAGTCTATCGCAATAAGAAAAATGGATAACCAATCAGAGAGAGGTGGAAAGGTGTTTGAGGAATGGTTGGGGGTGAAGGGAAAGTGGGCAGGTGCTGTTTCTTGCTCTAAGGTCTCATTCTAAAAACAGATCAATGAAAATTCAAGAGTGCATCTTGCAGGAGTGGGGAGTGCTGAGTTCTGGAAACAAAGGGCTTCTACAGGCAGAGAAGGAAAGTAAATTTGCTAACAACTGTACGTGTCCATACCACTGGGACAGAATGGAGCCACTTCTGCAATGAGGCAGGGAGGCAGGGTTTTGGCAAATCCGCCTTGTAAGGTCCCAGTTGCCCACGGGCACCTGGAAGATGGTGTAGTGAATGATTAAGAGCAGGCTCCTGAGTCTATGTGGTCTCACTTAGTACACTGCTGTTCTTTCAGCTCCTCAACTTTAATTCGTTTATCTGCATAGCAGGACTGATAATAGCACCCACTTTTTATGACTGTGACAAAGACTAAAGAGATAATGTAGGCAAAATGCTTAGCAGAGTGTCTGGCACAAAGTAAGTACTAAATAAATGTTAACCTCAATTTTTTCGTAGTTACTTTTATCACTGATAAGATTGCTTAGCCTCCATGTACACAAATATAAACATTTAGAGAAAAAAAGTCAAATTATGAAAATACTTGTTAGCACTATAAAATGATTATCAATTAATGAATCCTAATGTAAGAAAAATTTTAATGACAAAGTAGACTAGGGGTATTAGAATAAATGAGTGAAATGCCTAAAGATAGCAGGAAACTTGTATGATAAATCAGTTTCCACTGAATCAAAACCATGGTCAAGATGAAAGCAAGTTCAGTTTCACCAATCTTCAGGGCCAGAGAATATAAGAGAGACACGTGCATCAAGCGGAAAAAAACTGCTACCTAGAGATGAGATTTTGAATGAAAAGTAAAAGAAAAGAAATTTTTGAAGAATTGTGAAAAAATTGCAACCAAAATGGCTACAGTCCTTCCATTTCTATTTGGCTCTGGGCACCAATTTCCAGAAACTTTTAATTAAAAAAAATTTTTAAGGCTGGGGTTATGGCTCAGTGGTAGAGCACTTGCCTAGTATGTGTGAGACACTGGGTTAGACCTTCAGCATCACATTAAAAAAACAACAAAATAAAGGCATCATGTCCATCTATAACTAAAAAAAAAAATTTTTTTTTAATTTAAATGTGCTTTATTTTAGAAAGCAATTTTTTATAGACTATGTGTCAGCTGGGCATAGAGGTACACATCTGTAATCCCAGCTTCTTGAGAGGCTGAAGCAGAAGGATCTCAAGTTCAAAGGCAGCCTCAACAATTTAGTGAGGTCCTAAGCAACTTAGCCTGTCTCAAAATAAAATATAAAAAGGGGTTGTGGCTCAGTGGTAGGGTGCTTGTCTAGCATATGTGAAGCACTGGGTTTAATCCTCAGCACCACATAAAAATAAATAAATAGAGTTATACAATTAAAAAAAAAAAGAGGAGGGATGTGTCTCAGTTGTTAAGTACTCCTGGTTTAAAAAAAAAGAGTATGTGATTTGTGTGTGTGTGTGTGTGTGTGTGTGTGTGTGTGTGTGTACGCACGTGTGCATATACATATGCTTATACATGTGTGCAGTAATTAAAAAACATGGCCTGGAGAACCACCTTACAAAGCAGTACTGCCAAATGTCTTGTGTTGGTGGAACATGGTACTGTTTTGACAGGCAAGGGCCACTGAAATAAGCACAGAGGTGGGCTGCATATACTGAGAACCATTTCCCCCAAGGGAAAGATTCACGACAATAACATCTGACAAATATTAACAAAGCTTTTGCAGCAGTTTTTAAATTTATTTATTTATTTTGGTGGTGGTTGTTTTGATTTTTGGTACTGGGAACTGAACCCAGGGGCATTTTACCACTAAGCCACATCTTTAGCCCTTTTTATTTTTAATTTTAGGACAGGTAATCACTAAGTTGCTTAGCACCTCACCATTGTTGAGGCTGCCTTTGCACTTGGGATTCTCTTGCCTCAGCCTCCCAAGCCGCTGGGATTACAGGCTTGTGCCATTAAATCCGGCATAAGTAAACCCTTAAGTGCTGGTGAGACACTTATATCTAAGAAGTGCTGATCTCTGTGGATGTTCAAATACTTACTTCAAGGCCAAGCTCTAAGAATGATGGTGTTAGRCATGCATTTGTGCATCTGTGTGTTTAATGTTTGTCAGGGGTTCACCTCACTGTCCAGTGTTTGTCTATACATTCTGACCCTTGTCCCTTGAGTTTCCCCATAAAACCCAAGACAATGAGTCTCACACAGGGTGGATGGTTACTGATTCAATGACCTCAAGTTGGAATTTTCCAATCATAAGATTCATGAAAGATAAAGACCAGGTATATGACATAGCAAAGCAGGATGGTCTGTGGAGAAGGCAGAGACACAAAAAGAGCTGAGACAGGTGAGCAGACCTACATCATGTGGTAGAGACTGTTCCTCCCCAACATTCCCTATCCATTTGACATCAGGAAGCTCCATCTCACAGGCTCAGTGCTCAGAAGCTGTCTCTGGAACCAACCATACAGTCTCACCTGTGTTGCTCACCAACAGGCATCTGACTTGATTCTCAAACAGCCATGTGTAAGAGAATCTCCATCTTAAAGATGAAGAAACAGAGCTTCAGCAAGAGTCAGCAGCGTGCCTGACATTACTGGACTTGTAAGTGGCAGAACAGGACTGCAAACTAGTCCACACACCACCTAACTCCAGTGCTATTTCCGCACTGGGTGGGAACCCTGGAAGGACCTGAATCAAGGTCAGGGTGGGCAGCAGGAGTGAGAAAAGGTCCTAGATCAGGCAGATGGAACACAGGCTTACCTAAGGGAGACTCAATATAAGGTCTACATTTTCATCTATTAAATGAGCAGATATCCACAAGTTTGATAATAACTTGTGGCAAGGTAAGAGGATAAGGCTATACCTCTGGTAGAGTATAAATAGGCAGTGCCTGAAAAGCACATATTAATTCATCCTTTGGCTCAGCAATTTTGCCTCTAGGAGTTTACTGAACTGAGATATTTACATAAAACTAAAAGACCACAAATACAAGATTATTTATGGAAATACTAAACTCCAATGTCCATTAAATATAGGGCTGATAAAATAAACTAATATATATTCAAGCAATGGAAAAACATATGATAGAAAAAAGAATGAACACAATCTGATAGGAAAAGATCTCTAAAACAAGGATAGAAAAACATACTTCYTTTTGTGGAAAAGGGGATAAGAAATAAGGAAGATATTTTAAAAATTTGCATACTATTATTTGTTACAGATGCATTTAGAAACTTTGGAAGAATATGCAACAAATCAACAATTTATTAATAAATGAGGAAGAAGAACAGGATAGATGCAGGACRGAGAAGGAAAATAATTTTCACTGTATATGGTTTAGATTTCTTTTGCCATAAAATAATTAAAAAAAAAAAAAAAAAAAACTTTAGCTGGGCGTGGTGGCACACGCCAGTAGTCTCAGTGGCTCAGGAGGCTGGGGCACCAGTATCACTTGAGCTGGCCTCAGCAACTCAGCGAATCCCTATGCAACTTAATGAGACCCTGTCTCAAAATAAAAAAATAAAAAAGACTAGGAGGTGGCTCAGTGGTAGAGCATCTCTGGATTCAATCTCCTGTACCAAAAAAAAAAAAAAGGTTGACATGGTGGTGCACACCTGTAATCCCAGTGACTTGGGAAGCTGAGGTAAGGATGGCGAGTTCAAGGCCCGCCTCAGCAATTTAGTGAGAACTTGTCTAAAAAAATAAAAAATAAAAAAGGGTTGGGATGTAGCTCAGACCACCCCTGGTCTGAGCTAAAAGAGAGAAGAAGAAAAAAGGTGGCTGAAGAAGGTTGTGCCCCGGCTCCCTCTAAGGTCAAGTGAATCAGACACTTTTCCACACACTTCCTTGCTTATCCCTGTTGTCCTGGGTTTTGTGTCCTCTAGGAAGTCTCTATGAAGTTACATTCCTATGMATTATGCTTCATTGTATTTGCTAGAAATTGCACATATTCTCTAAACSATTAAACATATTTTACACTAAACCTCAGAGATACTAAGTGACTTGTTAAAGGTGGCCCAGAAGCAAAGCTGGAGTTTTGTACCAGCTCTGAGCCTTTCTATATCTAAGAGCCATGCCTTTATACCTTGACAGAGTTCAGTGACAGAAAATCACATGTGATCAGAAAGAAGAGAGAAAAGTGGGAGGTGGAGAGGGCAGGGCTATGGGAAGGGCACTCACTCTTGTAGAGACGGGTCGGAATCATCAGCATTTGCTGTGCCCAAGTCTGAATCGTAGGACATGGGTTCCTCAGAACGGTCTGGACTCTTGAAGCCATTCTCTTGAAGTAGGCAGCTATCGGAGTTTAGGCTGCAGGACAGCTGGGATGAACTGGCTGTATCCAGGCTGAGGGAGGAGGCAGTGAGCTTCCTATTCCGCCGGATCTTATGACCCGAGTGCTGGACTTCGATGTCCTCTGAGCCTGAGGAATGGGAAATTGAATCCAGAGACTCCTTCCGCTGTAGTTCTGCACCAGAGGTAGTGTGAGGGTCAAGCTCAGAGAGTGGGCAAAGCCCAGAGAGGGCCAATGGGGTGAGTGTCCATTCATTTAAGATGGCAGATTTATAGGACAGTTCAAAGGACAAGGATGTTAGTCCCTGCAGGAAACTAAGGAGGAACTCGCCCTCCTCAGCGTCTCGAAGCAGGGCTGTGGGCTGATAGTACTCGCACAGTCGGGCCTGCTCCTGTAGCAGCAGTTTCAGGTAGCACTCCATCAGGCCGTCGTTGAGGGCCAGCCGCAGCCAGGCCCGGCAGCGGCCCACATCTGTGTTGACGAAGACCAGGTGCTCCAATTCTGAGATGATGTGTCTGGCATGGGGAAGAGGATTACTTATTTCAAGAAATTTTCTCAAACCATTGAGATGTCATTTTACCCACTGGTTAGCAAGAATCCATCATAACTACTGCAAATATTATAGGAATAAAAAATACTTGGATAATATGTTTTAAAGGGAATATAGAAACACTAAGCTATAACTCCTGACTTCTTGTTGGTGTCATGAAAGATAATTGCCATGTTCAATATAACCATCCCTAGAATCTATAAAATCATCTGCTTATCCAAGCATGTGTGCTAAGCCCTCAAGTTTTTGGAACTGAAAAGAAACAGGGTGAAGTAACTGCCTTTATGTTTTTGTGGTGCTCGGGAACAAACCCAGGGCCTTGTGTGTGTCAGGCAAGCAYTCTACCATTGAGTTACTCTCCTAGCCCTAAGTAACTGCTGTTCACAGGCACATGGACATGAGCCCTTTAGTTGAAGAAGTTGTCGTGGGAGGTCAGACCATAGTTTCTGGGTTGTTGTAAGAAAAATGCCACAGAAAAGAAAGTATCTAAGCTAGAACCAAGGACTTTCAAGAAGCAGAGATAGAGAAACTTCTAGGCAAAATGGATGCACAGAAAAAGGGCACAAGTGGTAGGAAAACAACAGACCTGTAACAGGCATGTGAGCACTCTAATTACAACAAGTGGAGGGAGAGGGATTGATTTGGTTATGAAATCAGGCAATGGAAGGTCTTGAGTAAAAACTGATAAGGCCACGTAAAGCAAAGTTTCCCACAACTAGCTGCACAGAAGCCCTTGGGGAGCTTACCAGGATGTAGGTAGATTCAGGGGCCCCAATTTAGTGAACTAGACTCTAGGGCAGCATTTGGGAGCTACAGGTTTCTGTATAGGAAAGTGACCTGCCCACACCTATGAGGACTGCTTTAGGATAGATTGCTCTGGATAAGGAGATCAGAAACTGATATGAGAAACTCAGCTCCCAAATCCATTGGTCTGACATAAATGCCCCTCTGTGAGACTACAATGCCTGTGTGTGTCTCCCGTGGGGGAGTGCAGACCACTGGACTTGGTGGCTGAGCTGTAGCTAGTTTAAGCTCAGTAAGTGTTAAGCAGCTGATGACTTAAGGAAAGACACAATGAGATAATAGGGACAATTAAAGCCATTGCTGCCCAGGAGAGAGGTTAAAAACCTGAGATAGGACAGTGTCAGTAGGCGGGGAAAGGAAGCTCAGAGACTAATAAGGCACCTTGGGCTAAAGGTGGCATTGAACAGCTTTTAGAGGCACTATGCCAGCCACTTGCTCAAAAGTCCCAGCAATTAGAGACAAGGTCAGAGACACATGACTCAAGTGAACATTCAGATGTTCTACTTGCATTCTAGTTCTTGATAAAACAAACAATAAAAACCCATACCTCATTATGAGTATAATATTTAGAACACAGATGTTAAAATATTTGAAGATAGAGCAACTTTTCTATAAAGGGCCACAGAATAATATCTTAGTTTTAACTGCCTGACTCTGCCATACATGGTCAAAATRTCATTGGCCCTGGGGTGCCAGGACCACTGACTCTTGCCAAGGGCTGAGACTCTCAGAGTCTCAGGTCTAGGGTCTGTCTGGGAAGCTAGGTCTGGTGATAAACCTTCTCTAGACACTCTCCAGGCTTCTCTCACCCCATCTCTACTCTAGAAGACAGGGAGAGGATAAAACTAGCATCCCACACTCTGAAGCTCCTCCCCTAAGAAAACCTCTCCAGCTGATCTCACTTGTGGGTGACAGCTTTCAGGAGGGGCCAGAAGACAGGCTGAGGCAGAGGCTTCTGGTGGGCACTTTTCTTCCTTTTCCCTCCAGCCTCCGCGCGGATGTGCTTGGCATGAAGGCCATGGATAAACACAGCCTCCAAGGCACTGCACATGGTGTTGGCATCTCCATCTTCACTAGTGACCACTGTGTCCAGGGACACATACTGCTTCTGCAATGCCTTCACAGAACCCACCAGCTTCTTCTTGATGACCTAGGTAGTGCCAAACAGAAGATAAGCCATTAGAAGAGAATCCTGTGGAGTGCCCCTGGAATATAACCCTCAGCCACTTGCCAAATATATGTGCAGACACAAGCAGACACACCTGTGTAAGCATCTGTAGATTCCTTCAGCAAAATTAACACACGTTCATTATAGCAAATAGAGATAAAGCATAGTGAAGGAAAGGAAAATCACACAACCCTACCCAGAAGTATTGTTGCCCAAGGTAACATGACTGGATTGTTTTGAACATCATTTGCTGTGGATACTTTTTGCTTTCGAAATCAAATTCCAGTGACTCTATAGCCATATAATTTTTTTTCTTTTTTTTTTTTTTTTTTTGGTACTGGGGATCAAACCCAGGCATGCTTTACCACTGAGCTAAGTCCCCAACATTTTTTATTTTTAATTTTGAGAAAGGGTATTGCTAAATTGCTAAATTGCTGAGGCTAACCTCCAACTTGTGATTCTCCTGACCCAGCTTCCTGAGTTGCTGGGATTATAGGCTAGCCATATACTATTGTGTTTAAATACTTGCTCCATCATAGATACAGCTATGAGAGCAATGGATGGGGTGAGGCTTCCCAGATAGGTTATACAACTAGCATTCTGCAGAGAATCAACAAGCTAAGGGGCAAAAAGTGCTGCTTTGGAACAATAAAAACATAGAGAAAGGGCTGGGGGTAAAGCTCAGTGCATGCGTGCTCAGCATACACAAGGCTCTAGATTCAAACCCCACCGACACACACACACACACACACACACACACACACACACACACACACACCAAGACAATAAGAGTATGGCTACATTAAGAAAGATTCTAGGTTTGGGAACCAAAGACACACATTTAGTTCCAGCTCGTCAGTAACCACCTGGATCACCTCAAACATTTCACTTAACCTCTAAGCTTCAATTCCTACATGTGTTAAATGGAAATAATTTCTCCTGATCAAAAAGTATTGGAGCGGGCTGGAGATATGGCTCAGCWGTAGCGCGCTCRCCTGGCATGCGTGCGRCCCGGGTTCGATCCTCAGCACCACATACCAACAAAGATGTTGTGTCTGCCGAGAACTAAAAAATAAATATTAAAAAAAAATTCTCTCTCTCTCTCTCTCTCCTCTCTCACTCTCTCTTTAAAAAAAAAAAAAAAAAGTATTGGAGCATCGTCCCTTGAGGGCAGGACTAGTTTTGTATTCATCCTTGTGTCCTCAACATGTGACACTGTGCCTGGCACACACAAGAATTCAATAAATGTTTGTTAAATGAAAATATTAGAAAATGTGCAAGATAGTGAAATACCATCTCAAAAAATAAATGCAAGATATTAGTAGATTATATAAAAACTAAAAACACTTTTGAGTGTCCATAAGGTATTAAGGTAAGGTATGCAGGGACAGAGTAGGCATATACCCTCAAGAAACCTATAACCTCAAGGAGTCAGCCATGCTAGAAGGCTGAGCTGGACCCTGCTCTGCTCCAGAGAGGGCCCTGGGTGTGATGGAAGACCATTAGGGATGGGGTGGGGTGGGGTGGGGATGTGGAAGGGGAAGAGCCTCTATACAAAGACTGGCTGGGAGCTGGGTGCCATGCCACACATTTACAATCCCAGACTCAGGAGGCTGAGGACGGAGGATTACAAATTTAAGCCCAGCCTCAGCAACTTAGTGAGGCCCTAAGCAGTGAGACCTTGTCTCTAAATATAACAAAGGGCTTGGGTTGTGGCACAGTGATTAAGTGCCTCTGGATTCAATCTCTAGTACCAAAAATAAAATAAAATAAAAAGGGCTGGGGATATGGCTCAGTGGTAAATGCCCCTGGGTTCAATCCTGGGTACCAAAATAAACAACAAAAAACCAGGTGAAGCTGAACCAGTGGCCAGGAGGGGAAGATATATCTCTGAGGGTAGAAGTTCTTTTCAAGCAGAAAGTTCTCTGAACTGGGAGAAACAGCAGAGAAGAAAGGGCAATACTGGCTTCTCCCAAGAAGCCACCTCAGGATTCTGCTGAGAGACCAGTCCAAAAGCTCTCCGACCTTCTGTGTCTCCAAGGGAAGTGACAGAGCCAGTCTACAGGCCCAAGACAGCTCTGGGACCGGCACAGGGCAAAGGACTCCCCAAGAAAGGGGATCTGAGGGGTCTCTGATGAATTGGTAACAAGCAACTATGTTTGAAAAATCTTAGAAGATGTCCATGTTCAGACATAGGTAAGCTTCCCATTTGCTTCCATTCTTGAAACAACAAACCAGTGCCTGAGTCTGTTTCTCACCAAATCAGTATCTTGACCAAATTGACCTGGTCATGGCCTCAGGCCTCATGGCAGAGGGCTGAAGGGCTGATTGGAAATCCTTTGTCTTCAGATAACTTAACTCCCTGTTTTTATTTTTTTATTTTTTATTTTTGGAGTGCTGGGGATCAAATCCAGGGCCTCATACATGCTAGGCAAACTCAGCCATTGAGCTTTACCCTCAGCTCTCCCAGTGTTTTAAAAATAAATCCCCATTTTATGGCCCATAAGAAAATCCAGAAGGGGCAGGATATTCTCAGGGTCTGCCTCTACTATCACCTTTTCTCAACCTGAGGCCTCTTTCTAGGCACTGCCCATTCATTTCAATTAGAAAAGCCGATAAAATGGCAGTCCTCTGCAGCCCTCCCGACCCTTGCCCACCTACCGGGATGGCAGCCCGGGGGTCCAGTCCATTCTCCACCACTGAGAGCATTTCCACTCAGGCAGCAGCTCCTGAGGAGACTCACATGACACCTGCAGGGAGAGATGGCGGCCAGGTGAGCAGGCTCCCAACTCACCCCTGCAGCCTGAGTCCCCTCCCAGCAGGCAGCAGGTGGTAGGCCCAGCTCACCCAAACAGCCACTGAGAGGCCTCTGAGCAACACTGAAGTAAAAACTGAAAGTGGATTTTAAGGAAGGAAACGGAAGGGAAACAAGTCAGAGGCTCAATACTTGGGAAGGGAGGAGCCCCGAGTGCCATGAGTGGGTGGTTAAGGGTTCTTCACACCAAAAGCTGCCCCCAAAGCCAGTGCCTGTGGGATGGGGGCAGGGATAAGGAACCAAACACTGATCTAGGACACAAAGGGGAGGCTTCAGCTGAAGGTGCCAAGAACCAGGGGGATCAGGACACAGAGCTCACAATTAACACTGAAAGCCAGGGGTCCTGTAGCAGCTTCCCAATTCTTGTCCCCTCCAGGGTCTACCAGGTCAGCAGTGAAAACCTAAGTGGAGCAGCACCAAAATAGAGAGAGCTCTCTTCCCACACTTCTGCTTCTCCTGGGGTGGGGGGCCAGGGATGTGTCTAAACAGACCAACAGGAGTCTGTTTGCAATTTACCTCTAACCAACAAGGCACAGAGGGCGCAGTATCAGACTTCTCCAGTGGAGAATAAGAACGTGTAAAATTCTTACTGGTACAAATAGCATCTATAATCTAATGGTGTGGCCACCCAAATCTATAAGCAAAGAATGCCACTGCCTAAAATAGTTGGAAGTCAGTACAACATTAACTCCCTCAGGGCAGCTGGCTCCCTCCTTGGACCTGAGCAAGCATGAAGGTGCTGTTGGAAGGCCTGGCCCCCAGCAGCTTAGGTTGGGAGGGCCCTCACATCTAAACAAATCTCCAGTGACTACTCTGCTGAGCTTCAGGGGAATTAAAATATATATATGGGTGTCTCTGCTCTCAAGTAATTGTGACCCAAAGAAGTTAACAGAACCAAGGAATGTGACATAGACTGCCTCATTTAAGCTCCTCCTAGTCACAGCAGTCCCATTTTATTATTTCCACCTGACAGATAAGGACATGGAAGCTGATAAGGTCAAGCAACTATCATAGGTGCCATGGCTCACAGTGGCCTGGCTCTACAGCCCCCAGGGTAATGCCAACCCCAGCTCAAGGGAATTCCTGAGTGAGTGCCATCCTTAGAGCCAGGACTCCAAGGTGGGCTGGAAGAAAGACACTTCACCTGGGGGCCCAGGCTGTGGCCAGCCTGGAAGCAAGGATTACAGGAGAGTGGAAGAGYTTGAGGTCTGAAAAGGAGAAAGCAGGGTGGCCTTCAATGAAACTGCTGCTTCAATCTCTGGCCTCTGCGGTGGGCCAAGAATAAACACGACACAGAGAATTAGGGCCTGGAGCAGACCTTCTAAGCYAGGCCACAAAGGGAGGCAGGTGTGTGTGGACGGTCGCCCTGGCAGACTGCCTGGAAGAGCCCTTGGCCCTGGCTACAGCTCCTGGTTGATCACCTCACCCTTTGCCACATTCTGCTGCTCCATGTACCAGTGGATTCTCAGAGCTTCCTGAGACCTGCTCTACACACTGGGCATCAGAGGAAGAGGAAAAGGGATACATACTGTAGTCAGTCATGCCTGGCAACATGCCTGATCCTGGAAGCTGGGTTCCTTCAAAAACCTCATGYTGTCCAACAGGTAAAATCCGGCCCCTGGCTCAAGAACCTAGGTTGCAAACCTAATCCACAATTTCAGTGGCCTAAACCACTCCCTCAAGCCTTATAGACAGAGCCCTTAAGCTTCAAAGTTTCCCTTTCCTCAACCAGTTATAAGGACCCTAAGGGCATAGACTTCAATAATCTGTATAGTAGCTTGGATCCATTAATACCTCATTAACTAATTAGCTGAGAGTAAACACAGCACTCATTAGGAGAAGCTATCAATAATTAAGTGCTCTGGCCAAGGACCAGTCTGCTAAAACAAACAAAATAAACTGAAGCTAAGAGAGGTCAGCTGGGCGTATACACCAGCAATCCCAGCAACTTGGGAAGCTGAGRCAGAAGGATCCCAAGTTTAAGACCAGCCTCAGCAACTTGGGGAGAACCTGTCTCAAAATTAAAAGGGTTAGAACATAGTTCACTGGTAGAGTGCTCCTGGGTTCAGGAAAAAAGAGAGAGATGGGGGAAGGGAGACAAATAACTTGATAAGAGACAAATAACTTGCCTAAAATTAAGGGTTAGAAAGCCACAAAATTACTAACAGCTAAGAGGAATTCAGAACAGCCATTTCACAATTTACAAAACAGAACCAAGACTTTGAGGCTCAGGCCACAATTCAGGATACCTCTACCTTTCTTTGTAGGAAGCCCAAGCAGCCTACTTATTCACAGCTCTTCCACAGTACTTCAACGAGGCAGGAACATGACCATCGATGACGACCATCGATGACGTAAGAACTTTCTGGTGGAAACTAATGGAGGCTTTGGATCTCTTGACTGCTGAGTCACTGTTCCATTATCCATTTGGTGGCTCAGACCCTAAATCTGCCACTAGACCAGCTGGTGTCATTTCCTGTCCTCAGAATATCCCTTATTGACACCAAAAAACAAACTGGAAAGAACCATGGCTTCATTGAAGGGGAAAGATGGGCAACACTACTAGGGAAAGAATGGCAGGGGAAAGGTGACTCCCACCATTTAGGAAACCTCAAATCACAATAAGTCTATCTTCACCCCTAAGCAGACATTAATCCAACCTTCTGCTGCTTTCCAGAGCAAACAAAGCAAGTTTCTCTGATCTCATTTTCCAAYCTCATTTAATTCTTAGAGTAATTCCATAAAGATGATCATCCCTATTTTACAGAGGAGAAAATAGAAGTTAAATAGAAACAGGGYTCAGCTAAGGGACAGAATTCTCTGGTCTCCTTGTCTTTTCATCAGATCAAACTATCCTAGGTCTTTGGCTTGAAAGTTTTTAAGGAAACTACTATTTCCAGACTCTTCAGAGCTGTGGTCAGAAGCTCTGCTTTACTGAATAAGGCCTGTAAGCAACAAGACACAATCCTGGTGATCAGATTCATAGTCCCAAACAGCTAAGCCCAAGTCCTTCTCAGGGTACCTGAGTTTCACAGATGTCTTTTCTAAATGTTTCAACACCAGGAAAGAACCGTCCTAGTTGTTTTTCTTCATTATACTGCTTGTCCTTCTATATACAGTATGTCCAATTTCATTTCCTCCAGAGATCAAGGAAGAAATAAAAAGAGAAGAACAGCTTAGACAAKACTTACATTAAATGAAGAAATGGATAAGCTGACGTTACCACTCTCCAAACATTCAACCCATCAGTAAACAGCAACCTATTCTCTTCAGAGAATTCTCAGCCTCTCCTAACAGCCTTCTGTCTACTGTCTGAATCTTACCCTGGTTGTTCAGAACAACAGACTGGTGTTTATGCCATCTAACTGCTGTACTAACTGATGAGTCATGTTATTTCACTGGGAAAAGAATGACAAAGTTATCTTCTGATTCGGAAAGGCAGCTGATCTTTCAGACATGTGAGTGCTGAATGAGTAAACAGCATCTCCTTCTATATGAAGCAAGGTAGATTTCTGGACCAGTGTCCTTCCTGGATGGGGTGGGGTGGGAGGAGAGGATAAATCCTTCAGAACAATAATTTCAAATGAAATTTGCTGGAGGATGAGGCAGTGTGTGGTGGTACACCACTGTAATCCCGGGCTGAGGCAGGAGGATCACAAATTTGAGGCCAGACTCAGCAATTTGGCGAGGCCCTAAGCAACTAGGTGAGACCCTGTCTCAAACTAACAATAAAAAGGGCTGGGAGTGTGACTCAGTGGTTAAGTGCCCCAAGGTTCAATTTCCAGTAAAAAAAAAAAAAAAAAGAAAGAAAGAAAGAAAGAAAAAGAAAAAAAATTCACTGGAAGGTGAGAAATTTCTAGCTTGTGATTCCCGGACTAAGGATTAGTGAGCAAAGGCAGAATTATGAAAATGGTAAACACTGAATATCTTTCTTTCCTCCCTCCTTCTTTCCATCCAATAACAACTATTTCCCCATATTCTTGTCCCATGTGCTGTAGAATTCTAACAAAGTGTAAATTCTGGTTTTGTTGTTTGTTTACTGGAGCTTGAATCCAAGAGCACTTTACCACTGAGGTGCATCCCCAGACCTTTTGATTTTTATGACACAGTCTCACCAAGTTGCCTAGGCTGGCCTCAAACTTGCAATACACCTGCCTCAGCCTCCCAAGTCACTGGTGTGTACCACCATGCCTGGCAAGGAACAAACTCTGAATGAAAAAAAGTAGTAACTTTGCCTGAGTCATTCACATTGCATTTCTATACCTAGAACTGTGCTTAGCCACACAGTATACTTGGAAAATGCTTGTTGAATGACTTGGTGAATAAAATTAAAACAGGGCATAGTGCAGGTAGGTTCATTTTTAAGACTGTGGAAACCTGAGGTACACCATTCTGAAGTGGTAGGGGTATTGTGGAACTCCCGCCATTAAACAAAGCTGTCAATAAGGGTAAAAGCCATTCATGTAAGTCACATCTTAATGGCAGGATATTGAAGGTAGCAGTGCATTCAGTTTTCAAAAGAAAAGACCATAGTGACAAGCAAAGACAATGGGTCCTCTTGGGGGCCCTATAAATCCTGCCAGGGCTTGGGGTGTAGCTCAGTGTAAGCATGTACAAGGCCCTGGATTAGATCTCAGCACCAAAAAAAAATAAACAAATTGCCATCAAATGGCCAACACTTCTGAAACCAGGTCATCAGAATTCAGAGGAAATGTACATCAAAAAGTCCCCAGGAAACTATAACCACTGAGCATGAGCCCTAGGTGCATCAGAAACAACCCTCTGCCTCAGTTACTGTGAGATAATGTGACTTCCTGTGTTCATGAAACCCAAATAGCTAAAATTCAATGACCCAGCACAGAAAAGAGGAAGCAATTCAACAGCTTCTGCACCCACCTACGCTTCAGCTTCCTCAGGACCCACCACCTCTACTGTTCACATGTAACATGCCTCTGACACCATGTGATCCCTGTGTTTAGTGCTGGAACTGATCTGTCATCAGCTCTGGCAAGGAACACTGGGACAGGATCCTCCACAAGTGCCAGGACAAGACACATGGCCATGGCTCTGTAATTAGAGCCAACCCCACTGGCATTCCCTGAGGTTCTCCAGAGCCAGAATACCAGTCAAAAGGAAGCAAGGAYTTCAACTGCCCCAGGATGAGTGAGCTGGGTGAGGGACCATCTCTCACCTTGCAGGAATTTCAATGACACCTACCATTCCAACAGTCAACACAAGTAATATAATATGAAAGGTGAAAAAACAATCCCTGGGGACAGGTATAAGGACCAGACACCAGGGCTGGGGTTGTGGCTCAGTGGTAGAGCGCGCGCCTAGCAGGTGCAAGGCCCTGGGTTCGATCCTCAGCACCACATAAAAATAAATAAACAAAATAAAGGTATTGTGTACCACTAAAAAATAAAAAAWAATAATAATAAAAGGACCAGACACCAGGAAAAAATCTCTGACCCAAGAGTAGGGGAACTCTACTCCCCTGCACTCATTAACCAAACAAGGTGCATGGTCTATCAAGCTGCTCACCTCTGAGCAAGCACCTAGACTTGACTGTTCAGGGGTAGCTGGTGGGGTTGGCAGGGAGCTCTGCACTACAATTTCAGGCTGAATGGGAGCTGTCAAGGGAAGAATGGGCAGAGTTGATGTGAAGAGTTGCTACGGGGACAAAAGGTGAAAGGACATGGAGGATCTCTGTTAATAAAAAGGAAGAGGGTGATAGGAACTGAGGCAACTAGAGATGGGGACAGATAAAGACTTAGGAATGGGGTTTCCTCGMGATGGTAGAGGAGGGAAAAGAAATATATAATGAGCTAGGAAGTTAAGGGCAAAGTCTGTGAAGAAGCTACACATAAAATTTGGGAGAAGGCTGATAGAGGAGTTAACACGAAGCGGGTGAGCTCAACAGGGCATCTATTTTAGCGGTAGGTCTTCAATGAGAGGAGGGGAGAGGTAGACGTTTGGGATAWACAGACCTTAGGGGGCTGGGTAGACATTGGGAGCTGGGGATGAGAGAGCTGAGCCAGAAAAGGGGAAACATGAATGGTGGATTTAGGGGAGGTTTGTGCGGAGTATTAGGATTGCCAGGGGGGTTGTGGGGTGAGGATTAGATAAAAAGGAGATAAGGGATATATCCAGATGGGAGTTGCAACTAGGTTAAAGAGAGGTCACGAGTGAGGCTGCATTTATGCAAGAYCGGTGGTAAGAAGATGGGAGCAAGAGCTGAGGTTGGGTCACGGGTAGGAGAAAATGGACGGAACAGGCCAGCGGTGGCAGCGCGGGCCCAAGGCTACGGTGGGAGCCCGGTGCGGGCTGGGAGGGCAGAGGGCTCCGAAGCCGGACTGTCTCGAGGCAACCAAGATCTCTGGGATCACCGCGAGGGCTGGAGAACCTACTGCCCGTTGGCGTTACGGCCCCGCCGCCCCTGCGCTGCCCTCTTCACCCCCTGACCCCTAACTCACCAAAAGGAGCTGGGAGCGGGGCTGGGGGCGCTCCTGGCCGCGGCAGCCCCTCAGCCTCCGAACCGACGCTGCGGCCTCCTGGCCACTGACAACAGGAAGCGGCGCCCCAGCGCCTGACGCCATCACGTTGATTCGGCGCTCCGGCCCCGCCTCCAGCCCGAGGAGCCAACAGTGAGGCTCGGAGGATGAGAGGGGCGGGGCCAGGAGTTCTTAAAAGCCTGAGGGTRCGGAGCCCCATACGCAGGTGAGTGGCTCTAGATCTCTGTGCACTGGCCTGAGTCGGACCCGCGCTGGTAGATCCAGGCTTCTGGGTCTCTGACTCCGCTCGGTCGGCATCAACTGAGTAGTGACTTAGCCTCACAAAGCAGACGACAGTCCACTTGAGTAGTACCAATAATACCCTCTCTTAATACCTACCCTTCCTTTGCCTCCCGAAGGCATCAGTCCAACCCAGTGGGTAGAGCCTGGGCTCAAATTGGAGCCTTTCTCCTGGCTTTTAAGAGCCGGGAATACACACCTWTTTTGAAGGCACCTAATACCACGTGATCACCTTGAGGTTTCTCTGGGCAGTCTCATGTGTTCAACACAATCCTGAAGACCTGAAGCCCAGGGGTTCGCTTTTTCCTCTTCCAGCCTTGTAGTTGTTTGTTTTCTTTCCTTGTAGAAGTGACATCGCTCTTTCAAATGAACTTAGAAGAAAAATATCAAGAGCAGCGACTGCGCCTGGAACCCTTGGAGCCAGGGACAGTTCTTTGGGCACTTCACACTTGCAAACTTCGATCAATGGGAGCCTAGGGCCTGAGCATGGACTGTGAATTATTAGGGTCAGGAGAGGTACTTGCACGTCCTAAGAGTGTAGCACAAGGGTGACCAGGGACAGGCCAATTCTTGGAAAGAAGCTACACTGACTTTGGTTGGAGGTTTTATGCTCCCTTGGCCTCTAGGCAAGGAAGGTGGCCCTCATATCTCCACAAATCTAGAGGACCCAGTTCCTGTTTCCATTTATAAAACCAGCTGTTGGGGGTGGTCCCCCACCTTGTTAGTGGGCTGCCTGCTCAGTAATTCTCCTCCCCTCAGTTTCAGGCTAGATGGGTCACAGTGTTCATTCAATACAGTTGATATTGAGCAGGAAGATGACAAGTACACGCGTACAAACTATTCTTTTGTGTCAAACTCATTTTAAACAAGAAAGAAGGTAAGGTGTTTTCTAGGGAAACTTACCTACCTTGGCAAAAGGATAGCTGTTTCTGGTCATAATCATCACAGACAGATATTGGTGGTTTAGAAGAAGCATGTCCTGCCCCTAAATCAAGCACTTCAAGTCCCTCAGTTATTCCCTTGCATTTTTGTTCAGCTGTTGAAAGGATAACTGTGTGGAATTCCTCAAAATAATCTCTTGTCTCTTTCCTGGTCCCCTATTTTCCAGGCTCCTGATATCTGAAAAGTTTCCATGCTTGACTACCTCTTCTCATCTTGCTCTATACAAGGTGAAGCTATATAAAGGCCTGGAGTTAAGATGGGGGAGGATGGAGGAAGTGGCAGGAGAGGGCAATGCACAAATGCACATAAATATTGCACATTTCCACAAAACATTTCACAACGGACCATGAGCGCACCAGGTAGACTCCAGATGGGGAAAAAAAATGTTACCCTGTGACTGGAACAATAATAAAGGCGCCTGCAAAATACTACCGAACCAGAGAAAAGAATTTGAGAGGTTTCCAGATGCATAGTATCTATGAACTTGTGAAGAACTGTTGAGTTAGTGCTTTAAAGGTTAGTTCAATCTARCTTCAGTCTTTGATCCTCCATTATTCATCTCATTCCCTTGTCTTTTGGTAATAGAGCCTCCGGTAACACTTCATGCTTTGATATAGCCCTTGCTGCTCTGCCACAAGACTTATTATTATTTTTTTTTT